GTTCGCTCTGCGGCCTGGCCGTGACTGTTCTCGCTCCCTGCTTTTGCTGCGCTCTCGAGGACGTGTTTCCCACAAAATATATTATTATCATATAAGTATTGAAATTGTACCAATGTCGAAAAATTTAGGTCGACTTACGAGTCGAACAATAACAATTTGTTCCGTCTATTATTAAAGAGTTTTAATTCTTTGTGGAATTGCTATCAAATAACCGAACGCGTAGTTAAAATTTTTCGTTGGAAACAAGTTGGGCATTTGATTAATCGTCATCGATTCGTCGGCAAAAAGCTTCTTTTCGCGCATTGTTGCGCGAAAAGAAGGCGACAACGAAGTAGCTGCTCAAAGCTTGGCTCGTGGACTCGTGAAATGCCGCGATAAATGCGTTCGGGTGGTACGGCCCTGACAGAGCATAGGCCGAAAAAAAATGCAAGCGCGAGCTCGCGCAGTCAAAACCTCTTTTTCACGCGCACACTCGCGCACATAGACACACGGATAGAGTCGGGCACGTATGGCTTCGCGCGCAACGCATCTATCTTTCTCCCCCTCCCCCCTTTTTTCCTTTCCCAACGAAGACACATACGCGCACACTGCTCTACTCGCTCGCCACATGCATTTTCCTAGCGCGCGCGGGAGGGGGGAAGGTACCCTCCTCTGCATGACAATCTCCTTTCCTTCTATTTCTCTCTCGGCTGATTAACTCTTTCCTTTATTACCGCGCCGGCAGGACAACGGATAATTAAGCAAACAGGTTTCCTGCTTCTCGAAGATTCTATTTTCCTTTTTTTTTTCTTTTGGAGTAGCTACGCGCGTTTGTCACTCCTTTTTCCATTCGCTATGCGGAGGATAGGGGAAAAGCACTCGAGGTAATCAAGTTATCCGAAAGTATCTCGCGATAATTACAATGCGAGGAGCGGGGGGCTTAGATGCTTTACTTAATCGAGAGGCGAATGCATTCCCGCGCGTGCACAACGTACCGCCGAGCCAAATGAACTTTGTTTTGGAAAATAAAGTAACAGAAAGTTCGACGATTCGTTCACCGATGCGCGATTACAATCATTGGCGCACCAGCGGCACTTCGCGTCCGAGTATACAAAAGTACACTAGACGTACCCGATGAGCTTGCAAAACCTAACGAAATGGAACAAGAGGAAGAAATCCGCGTTAAAATCCGAGCAACGAACTACAGCATCAGCGGCTTCAAGTACACAGCCGATTTAAAGGAACTGCTAGTTCCTTAGAAAAGTGTGTGATAGCCGAGGGTAGAGCCAGAGCTCGTGCACACACACACGCGCGCGCGCGCGTACACACACACGTGCGAGTGCGGAGGCCATGGCCATTAACGATGCCGTACATAGGGTAAATCTCAAGGAGACGGAAAATGGGGGATCGGTTGCAGGCGGTCGCAGCTCCACCCGCAGAAAAGCGTATCTCTCTCGCTTTCTCTCCCTCTCTTGTCCCTGTTATTAGCTCTCGCGAGACGTCGAACGCAATCTGGCTTTGCTCTGCCGGCATTCCCACACGGGTCTACCTGCATTGTAACCGCTTGCAGCAGCTCCACTCGCGGCATCCTCTTTCTTTCTCTCTTCTTTATTTTCCTCTGCGGGAAAGCAGCCTCCCCTCCTCGTTTAGGAGAAGGATTGCCCTGGTAGTAAAAACGCCCGAGTGAAGGTCGAAATCATTTTATTTGCGACAACTCCGTTGAACCCCTCGTTTTCTCTGTCTCTTTGTTTTTTTTTGCGCTATTTTTCTTTTTCTTTTTCTTTTTTTTTTTTTTTCTTTTCATTGCTCGGTCCGCGCTTTTACTGGAAAGGCATATTATTTATGCTTCGTCTCTGGAACGTAACGAAACGCTTTTCCACTGGCAGATTTTTCCTTTCCTTTAGCGCCCCTCCCCCCCTTTTTCGGCTGTAGATTTTCCCCGCGCGAGTGCGCGCGCGAAAATTTACGATCGCACGCGGCGCATTATGTTTCGCTAGGGAAAAATTGCAGGTATGAAAAATCGATGGATTTACCCGAGAGCAGCGAGGCTGCTTCTTCAATTTCTAGGGTGGCTCGTCGATCCCATTGTGAAAAGCCCAAATGGCGAAGGGGGAAAACTCGGCTCTCTTGCTGTGCCTTTTGCGCGCTCCTCGCGGGGAAACTCTAACGCGCCAGATTTGCTGATTTTTCGAGGGTTCGCTCTTTGTGACCTCGATGATGCCACGCGTTTCGGTTCGTCGCGATATCACGGATAAATCGCTGCAAGGCAGTCGGCTGCCGACTTCCATTTCGCTTTTACTAATATACACGCTTCCCGTGTAACATGTTCAGCGCCGAAATCGTGCACATTTTAGAGTGAGATGCACGTAGGAAATACGGTAAATTTATCCGTGTAGCAGGCAAAGTGTATTGCGTGAAGTACATGACAATCAACGCCGAAACGCCAATTGCAGAACTCGATTGCGTTTAGGCTTTCATTAATTGATATTCAAGTTGTGTGGATTAAACACGAGGAGCTATTGACGAGATCCTCGGACGAGACAACAATATTGACAATCGAAGCGGTACGTGGTAATTAATACATAAACATTAAGCATGCCCGCACAAATACAAACCCGGTGAACACATCGTAAATATATTCGCTGCAATGTGTATTTATTTGTGTTCACCCTCGCATTTGTTGGTAATCGCATCAAATTTCAATAAAAGTCGCATTTCAATTCGTTATTATCATTTTCATATACGGTAGGAGGCGTTATTGACCCAAAACAGTAAATAATTCTGAAGTACCATGGCCAGCTGCAAATTCAACGACTAACGGCCCCCAAAAAAATATACAAACAGCCCTCGAGCGTCGAAAAGGCATGAAACACAGAAGCTTTGAACGCGTCAAAAAAAAAAGAGAAAAAAAGAAGCGAAAAAGTAGCGACGGCGAGTGCGGCGGTGGCGTGCAGTCGGCGGTACGTTGTGCACTCGCTCGCGCGCGCATACGTTTAGCTTGCGCACACTTGATTTATCGACCCTCGAGATCCCACGCTTGTTGGCTCGCTTTTCTGTCGGTATACTCGACGAAGGAGAGAGAGAGAGAGAGAGAGAGAAACAGAGAGCCTATAAAAAGCCTCGATTTTTCGCCAAAGGCCGGAAAAGCCTCTCTGTGACTCCCCTACTCCGGATATGCGTTGTCGACGCGCGAACGACGAGGGTGCACGACTCGGCTTTTCTCTCGGAGCGTGTATATCCGCGTATACGCCATTTTCGGAGCCTTGCTTTTTTTCTCTGGCTTCCTCTGCACCCCCGAAGAAACGAAACACCTGTTCCGCGATTATAGCGCGAGCTTCCCTTTTCCTCTCACTCGATCGACGAAAGAAGGAGAGAGAGAGTAAGCGGCCGGAAGAGGAGTTTCCCGCTATCGTTCAGCGATTTCCTGTTGACTTGTCCTTTTACTTTCTCCGCGGCAAAATCTCGTTCCGGAGTTTTATTTGGTGCTATTACTACTGCTACTGCTCTCGATTCGCGGATATTGTACTAGCTTTGTTTTCTCGCGAATGGTTATTCGCTGCAACAAACTTCGGATAAGCTTAAGCGAGGTATCGGCTTCGTTCTGTCATTTCGATTGTTTTAACTGTTGCGTCTTCGAATGTAAATTTTTATTTCTTTTTTTTGGATTTCTATTGCTCAAGTGAACGTTTCTAATGTTAACTGAAAACGTACACTGAAAGAAATATCGCATAAAACTTACCGTGATTGGCACGGTCAAGCTGAGACGTGATAGCAGTTCATGAATTTTTTTTTATGAAATCGGCCCAATTATTATAAATTATAAGCATACACATTGTTCAACACTTCAAGAAATATGACAGTTCCGCACTATAATTTTTTCGAAGGATAATATTTGTAATGAATTTATAGAATTTTTCTGACTATTATGATAAATTTCTACATTATGCGTGTTAAATTTAACGGTTTCATCACGGTAATTTATACTGATAGTAAACTGCAAAAATTCACTTAGGCAAAACAGTGGCGCTGCGGCTGTGCCATTTGCGCAGCACGAGTGAAAACATTTGTTCGTTCCTAAATTGAGAACAAAGTAAAATATTTGATTATTTAATTGAACAAGCGATAATGGAAAACTAATAAATTAAAGTTTTTCTTTAGTAGGTATGAATAAAAAAATTGTCGAATTGGTTTAATATTTTTATAACCTTCAACATCACAATACTTTGAACCGGATCTGTTTTATTGATCGAGAATGTTAGGTCCGGAGAGTCGGGAAATTTTTACCATAACGGTTCTGTAAATTTTATTCAGACTATGAGAAAAATTACAAGAAAATTCATAACTTTCATACGATATCATTTAAAATTCATGAAGCAGTTAATGTCCCAGCTTTACCTTGATGTACTGTAATTTTTACGTTGAAAATTATCGTAATTTTTCTGAAATATTTTTTTCCGTGTACTGACATTTTATGCCAAAATACTATCGAATCATGCGTGAAGTATGATATTTTATGATAAATGTGTTATTTACATTTATCTTATCTTAATAATACGATGGAACTTGAAAGAATGGGCTTATTTTGCTACATTTTAAATGTAACTTCCTGGCGCAAACTTTTAATCGGTATTTCAGACACTATGCAATGCTAATTACTTAAATATTAAAGTTGAAAAGTTTATTGGTAAGCTGGAGCTGCCGTCAATGTATTGAATAATTATTATTCTATATGGCAATGTAAAATAATAGCATCCACACTTTTTCAAGTAAATGTTCATTATATTCGGAACGACAGGTTTTCATATATAGGTTAGATTATGCACAATGACATTGGAATGTTATACTTCTTAAATATATAATAAATTTACTTCGTTCATATTCTTTAAGTATGCTTTGTCCAGTAAAAAAGATAAAATTACGTTTATATGATTCTTTCTTAAATTTTAATTTCATCAAAATGAACTCTCATCAGAGCGTGAGCGATTGCCGATCTAATATTAATTTTGCTTGTTTGCACTTACCCATTTTTTGTCCCTAAATCCAACTATGATAAGCTATCTTCGCAAAAACTTCAATCTTTACTGGTTAAATAATGAGAGAATAATAAAATATATTCAAAAATTTTGTCTAATACCAGCGACCAACGGTCATATCAAATACTATACAATTTGACCATATAATATAAACACGTATATATATGTATAATGTGTGTGCTATATATGTATATATATTGATATATATATATGTATATATAATATATATGGGTATATACATATATAATATATATGTATATATAATATATATATGTATATATATATGTATGATGTATATATAAGCTGTTCTTTTAAAAATACTATAACTTTTACTTTAGTCTCACTGAAAATTATATAAAAATACAAATTTCCATTATGATTTAGAGCAAACGAATTGACGTACCTTGCTAAAAAGTACATATTTTAATCTTCAACTTTTTCATTCGAGTCGTTAAACAAAATGTTAGTTAAAATTTTTGACTTATTAATTTTTCATCGCTATCATAAAATTTTATAAAGTTATAAGCTTCAAATAATAAAAAACAAAATTGAGTTTTTTCAATATTTCAAATTAAATTTTTCTACAAAGTTTGACTGTTATCAAAGTGAGCCACAACGGTTCTTCATTATTTCGTACTGTATATGACAAGATCTGTAAAAATAATTCAAAGTTCAGTCTCAAAAGTTTCGGGTTGAATAATAAAACAAAGTTTTATAAAAAAGGTGATTTTTTATTTATTTTGTCAGCGAACTCGCTTCGATGCAAACTTCAACAATAAATTGGTGTAAAAAAATGTATTACGAACTTGGCAAAATGTTGTTTTAGTGGTTAAAGTAGCGCCATCTGTATGTGCACATTTTACACAAAATATTTGAAGACTTGGTCTTCTAGTTTAAAGTTAAAACAATTATAGTAATATATACAGTGAAACTTGCATTAATACAGATGAAAAAATATTATAAAAGCATTAAATATAATAAATAACAAAAGTTGAATATATTAATTTGCATTACTTTTTATCACTAAATGTTAATGTCTTCTTTCGCAATACTTACTTTCCTATTTTTGTGATAAACTGAATAACAATACTAGTATAGAGAAGAGTGCTATCAATTACTACATGAGCAACACTGTCAGAAAAATACCAATGCTTAGTAGGTGCAGATAATTTAACCATGTTACATTATTGAATTATAGATACATTGGATAGAAATAAACCCTTAAATTACATAAATGGCGTTAGATAGGATTCTACAAATGAGATATTATTGCAAAAAAACTTCTTTTTAAATATTTATGAAGAAAAAAACAATCAGTATTTTGTTTAGTCATAAAGAACACTTTGTTCTATAACTAGACATTAAACACACTTACTTTCTATTTGGTAATATTTTCTGCACCTACTCTCTATTATTTACATTTATAAATCATCTGTTTGAACAGTTTTATTTTCTAAAGATGTTTCAGTTTTTTGACAAGTGTATTTATTAGCAATATCAAGTATCTCCCTTAGTCCACTGTTCTCTTTTTTTAATCTGCCTAAAGTTTCCAGATACTTTATTTCATTCTCTTCATCAATTTCAGCAGCAGTTCTCATTACTGTTGCCATTTCATCAATCTTCTCAGCTTGCTTATCAATGATCTACAACAAATATAATTAAATTTTATGTATGAAGTCTGTTTTATTTATAAAGTTTTAATCTATTTAACAATGCCTATAATTAACTTACACCTGTACATTTGCATTGATTATTTTGTGAGCGACACTTTGCGCTTGGTAAGGCAGGATAATTTTGCTTAGTTTGCCTTAAAAAATATGCAGTTTGTTGTCTGTACTTAGACATTATTTGCTCCATAGTTTTTTGGTAATCTTCTAAAGCAAGTTTTAAATCTTTATTTTCAGCTTGTAATTCTCTAAAGTATCCATAATTTCCTTTTTGATAACTAGCAACAAGTTCTTCGCGTTGCTTTTGGTTGGACTGTTCATTCAAAGTTTCAATATCTTCTTGATACTAAAAAAGTAATAAAGTATGAAAGCTCTGATATATATATCTTTATACAAGTCTTTAGTCTGTTTGCATAAAAAATAAAATTACAAAGAGAAATATATTTAATTGTCAATATAGTTTCTTAAACAACTACAGAATCTAGAGATTTATTTTTACTCACTTATATCAAGTATACTTTAATAATTTTACTAAATTATAAGTTATAAAATGTAAAATCAATAGTTCAAAATTACTCAGAGGAAACTTAAACAATCTCTAAAAATGATAATATAAATCAATCAGTGAAGGTAGAGTGATCATAACTACCTGCTTCATACTGTCTATCTGATTGCAGACTGATTGGATCTCACATATCAGGATGTCAGCAGTGTTCTCTTGTGTTGTTATCTCATTGACTAGCTCTCCAGCATCCAGAATGATTTGTTGGAAGGTGAGAGCCATCTAAAAATCAATAACAACATGACATTTGCGAGGTCGATGAAAAGACTAAAATAAATCTGCACCCTACGTCAATCAACACACACATGTTTATACATACGTCAGCAAGCTAACGTTACCTGTCAAACTACATATATTGTTTTAATTTTTTTTCAAGCTAATGCTCAGCTAAAATACGGCCATTGCTTTAATTATTAGTACATACCTTGGTAATTCAATCAATTCACGTTGTTGACTGATGCATTAATTGTACAATTATACAAGATGAAAGAAGAAAATATAAGCATACTATATTGTTGATATGCGCAATCGAGGTTATATCTACCTAGCTCAAAATGGAGGATATGCTTTTATTGTAACAACTATGACAGGCAACAGCGTTGCCATTTGCCGCTTCTTACTGCTGTTTAAATAATCATGAATCTAATACAAATGCTTTATTGATTTGGTATATTTCAATTTGAGTATTCGCTTTTATTTTTATCATTCTTAAATATTGAATGAGTTTTATTATTTTTGCAGCCGTTAGGTTTTCGAAATATTTATTGATTTCATTTTTATTGAAAGTAATTACTTAATCAAGAATGATATATTTGATTTTGATTTAATGTAGTTTAAAAAAATGAATAATAAAAGAAGCATCGTATGTAGGTCTCGTAACTCTTGAAAAATGCATATAGCTATAATAATGGTATTAAGTTAATAATTCTATTGAGCCGATTGAGCGGTCTATCAAAATATAGGCGCTGCTGTAGTTTCGTCTTTTATTCAACAAGCTGTTTCTATGTTAGTTCAGTTGTTTCTCGTATTTCGACTTCGACCATTACGGTCCGCAATAATAGTATAATACATCGATGAAATACCATTGCTTTTGAGTTTTAATGATATTTAGTTGCATTTATTCTATATATAATTGTAAATTATAATAATTACTGGAGGTAAATATATTTTTATCTAGTTTTATTCAATTTACTTAATCGTCCTACATGACAGTTGTATGAATGTTCTTAGGCACGTGTGTGTGTGCGCGCGCGCGCGCGCGTGTGTGTATATGCGTGTTGACTTGTTACAATATACAAGTATATCTATATCTCTTAGAGCTCTTTAATAAATTATTGCTTTTTGTTCATTTTCGTATATAGTTACAGAAAATAATTTTATGATCTCAGTATATCTGATAGTATGATTATATATCGTTTAAGTTCATTTTTACGCAAATGGAAGAATTTATATTCGTATGAGTGTTAATATATCGAATTCTATTATTGTTTAGAATGGCTAAAACAAAAACAATCAGTAAAGGATGTCCGAAATGCGAACAACAGGTAAGCAAGACTTCAAATAGTTTAGATCTCTTATATAATAAAATAATATAATCACATCGTACAATAGTATAGAATTTATTGTTAAAAAATAAATTGTTGTAAAACCTCTGTATCTTATTGTTTATGGTTAAAATAGTTATGATTTATATAATATTATTTGTGAAATTGATTTAATTTGAAATTTAATTAGTTAAATTTGAAATAATTTTCCAGGTTCCTGTCGCTTGCAAAGCCTGTCCTTGTGGCCACTCCTTTTTCAATGCTCGACGAAACTCTATCAAAAGTCCACCCAGCCCTGATGGTGGTGCTATGAAAACCAGAAGAACTAATCGAGTTAAAAGAGAAAAGCCAAATTATTATGATTCATTAGAGTATGAAAAACAGACTCGAAAAAGTGCTAAGGTAAGAATGTTAAATATATCTAATTTTTTAAATGTATTTCTACTTAATTTAAGTTTTTTAAACTTTAATTTTAAGTGCATTTACAACAAAAATTTTAATTATTATAGTTGAGAAGAGCAGCTGAAACAGGTTCTGATAGTGATTGCCGTCAATTAAACAAGAAAAAGAAAAGGAAAGGTAAAGGTAAAGGAAAAGGAGGTGGCAGTAGTGGAAATGGCGATGATGATGATGAAATGGAAGGTGTTAGTAGTTTACCACCTGAAAAACAACTAACATGTTCACTGATTTTACAAGAATTAAATAACAAAATGAGTAGTGTAGCTTGGAAACCTGTGTGAATAAGATATTTCATAGTTAATAATTATTAGATTCTTTTCTACAATTATTACCAATCATATTGGTATTTGCATCTACCTCCACATATGTGCAAAATTTTCTGTGCATAAGTTTTTGTAATTAATTTGTAATCATGTATTTATAAGACCAATCGAAGATTGCAACTTGTATATATTAAAAAAATAGATATATGCAACAATTAATCGTGATCGTAAAGTAAGTTAAAGTAGTTTTTTTTAAGTATTTATGTAATTTTAACTTGTACGTACATCACTTTTCATGTTGCAACTTTGCATGCTGATCAATAAAAATATATAGATTGTCACTGCCAGTTGATCAAATTATTTGTAGTAGTTGACATTCCTACTAATTAAATTATTTTTATAATTAACTACATTTTTGATAAATAGATATAAAAGTCATTAATATGCAATAATTTAAGATCAGAAAAACTGAAGATTATAATAAATAAATATTACAGAACTGAAAACTATATTTTAAAGTTTTTGTTAGTACAAAAATATAAATTTTATATAAACTATAAGATTAAATAGGGAATGGAGATATGGTAATAATGACATGGCCAGCGAAACTTCTTTTTAATAATAGCTATTTATTATTATAGCTTAATTTTCGTATTAAAATTGAAATGGATCTATTTTTATTAATGTTATTTACGATAGAAGTAACGTTAAATTATAATAAAATAATAGCTTTCTACAAAAAGTTTAAATTCTATCAAATTTATCACAAGAACCGAATATAAAAACGCTATTCAGTTTTAAAAGTTTATCCAAAGCACATACGTTGATTGATAACAGGTGAAATAAATTCATGAGTCGTTTCGTAGCTGAACAAAAAATTGCACTGAAGCTGAACAGTATGCTCAAAAGTTCTCAATGTCTCTGTACAGAATACCTATACGGTTCCTAATTATTAAATAAAAATTACAAATTCAAATTAACATATTATTTAATAAACTTAATCTATCTAACGCACTCGTTTTTTTCAAACTGTCTAGTTTTTCGTCTCTGACTTTTAACTTTCTTCTCTTCACAGTCTTTTTTATCAGTCAGTATCACCGAATCATGTACATTATTGTAATATAAATTATCCGAACTCTTACATTTTTTCATACTTTGAGAACGTAAACTATGTTTTGCAAGATCTGCGAGACATTCACAACTTCGAGACTTGGTAAGTATCTTTTTTTTTCCAGATTTTAATTCAATTTGCAATTTTTGACCCATTTTATAGACACACATACTTTTGTACTCGTCACCATTAGTCTTAACAAATAAATCTGGTTTATCAGTGATAAGGTTTTTAATTTTCTGCAAATCTATGCTAACTTTGAATAGATCAACGTCATGAGTTTTATAATCGCGCATATCTTTGACTGTACCCGTCAGCGAGAATCTCAAATCATTCATGTTAACATTTTTCAAATGTTTATCTTCTTCCACAGTGTTTGAGTTAATATGCGACTTAGTACTTTTTGAATTGCGTTTTTCAAATATTGAGAAATACATGTTAGACTTGGGTTTCATGGAGTCTTCGATTACTAATCCGTTAACAGGGCTGGTTACCTTTTGAATTGAGTGAAAATGCCTCACCAATCGACTACTTTTCGAGCGAAGTGAACGTGAAGTAATAATTGAATTATCTTTCGGTGTAGACACGGAATCATTATCACTTTTGTTTGATTTTTCCGAGGAATTAATATTTTTATCTTTAGTCGTGGATATGAATTGATTGCTCATTGGGCTGTCAGACATCTCAGGATTCCAATTCTCTTTTAAATCGTTGTGATTCCGTGGTACTGAGGCTTTATCGCGCGTCAACGATTCTTTTGAAATACCAGCGTTGTTTTGCGCTTGGGTGGTCGGATATTCCAACAGCGTATTGTCGTCCTCGTAAATAAAACTCCTTGGACCACGGCTTCTAAATCTCAAAACTCTACTCGATTCGTTCGAGTCGTCAGATCGTAGTGGAAACGATTTGCTACTTTTCTCGTTAGATAAATTTTGATTCGATCCTGCCGAAGACACTGAAGCGGCGTTATACGTATCGCTTGATGATGAGGTAATATGTTGCATGTCGTTCACTTTCATTTGAATTTTACATGCACGATAAGCAAGCTGAAAAATAAAAATATATCATTACTCGCGAATTACAATTTCAATTAGTAAATTGTTTCGTGTGACTGACTTCTTACTTCCAAATCATTTCCAGAAATTCTAAACTTCAAATCGCGAAGGCGAACAAAATCTGGAATCAATCCAGATCGATCACAGGAGGAACTTCTTGACTTGGAGCTCCCGCCATTGCCGCTGCTGCCGTTAATAAAGGAACTTGAACCATTTGCGGAAACGGTACTATTTGTGATACACCTGGAAAAATTAGAGTTCCTTTTTAATTAAACATGTTAAAACATTTTTATAGTTGTAACACACTTTACAAATATTCACACGTTGAAAAGAAGATTAAAAAATTTGAAATATAGCAAAAGTGCGGAAATATAGAAAAAAATATATTGTTATTTTATTACAGATATTTTCTTTACACTTGATGTAGAGAATCAATATTCATCACAGCAGTATTTTATATTATTCGTTTTACCATGCTTACAAATAGCGAGCTAATCCGGATATTAGTTTGATTAAAAATACGTTAGGATTTCATAAAATATACCCAATGATCCATCTATTATCAAAAAATGTTTTTGCTTTTAAGTTTGAAGTTAAAAAGTTCCTCTATACCCCTTTGCAAACCGTGCATAATTTTCTACACTGAATCATTCTAACTCACATATTTTACATCAGAAATAAACTGACCATCACAATAACAAATTAGACAACGAGATTCTCGTTAAAATGTAAGACACGTATTTTAATTTACGCAGAAGACAATCAGTTTATTCCCAATCAAGCAGCAATGTTAAAATAGTAAACTTTTGAGTAAAAGCCAGTTACTCACATGGCAAGGTCTGGAGGGTCGGTGGCGTTTGTATCTGTTTCTGAATGAATTGGTTGAGAGTCATCTGGCTGGTCGACGTTTCTTGTACCATCTGCGGCAGAATGATCGGAGGTCTCGTTGAAAGAGGCCACTGTAGGTCCGGTGCCTGCGTCCTTGTGACACTGTTAGAACCCCAAGAGTGAGACTAGAGAGAAAGTACGGGGACACGGTGACACACATAATATATCCATTCCCCGCACTAACTCTAGCTTTACTTAATTTCTTTGCCTTTTCTTTGTATATTGGATTTGTGATGGTTAATGTTGCTAAGTTTATCAATCGCTCGCTTTCTCTCCCCCCCTCTCTCTCTTTCTCGCGCTAAATTCACACTCCACTCAAGTTATAAATCGATTTGTTTAATTTGTTAGGCACTTACGTACAAAGCATGTTATGTGTGGCACAGAAACGTTAGGAAAGGTTGCAAATGTGTATGTACAATAGTTAAACTAGATGAAAAACAATTTAATTAAATGCATTGAATCAACAATAATAACACCAAACTCTCAGGAGACGAATCTTATAACAGAATCATCAGACGTCAAGAAGTATAAAAATGTGCTTACATTTTCAGGGGTGATTGTCGCGTAACTTGCTTCCACTAACGAAGTTGATGGTACAGCTTTAATCGGATTTTCAGGCAACAATAAAACATTTGGAGGCGGTGCAAGCTTATCATCAACTTTCGCGGGTTCTAGATCTATCGTTGAGTCAAGTCGCGCTCGCTTAGATGCTTCGATTATCGCTTGATTGTCTTCTTGTTCTTCGTCACATGCCTCCTGATGATTCCTCTTCAATTGGTTTGGCACATCTGGCATTGCAAGCGAAAAACTCGGCAGTTCTGATACAGTCTCTTTCGTTGGACTGTCTGGCACGCTAGCGAAAAATTCAGCAGGTACGGAGGTAACATTTGTTATGATAAAGTTGCAAGTTGATTCTTCGGTATCTTGGATCGCCGTTGGTGTATTCGTTCTCATGGGCGATACCAAGTCTATTGGAGTTTTATCATATTTTTTATTTCTTATGACGAGTGGGGTTGAATTAGAGAAACTTGAGGAACTACTGCCACTTGCATTTGTAGCGAATATAAATTGATTCATTGAATTTTTATTGACGCCTTTCATACCGCTTTCACATACGATCTGAAAAATAATGGAAATTATTATCATTAACATTTGGAATCTACAAATGATCATATTAATTTATGGTTATATAACGGTTATTATTTACTATTATGTTTTGAAGATATTTACCTCTGGTAATTCGTCATCACTATCTAAGCAGATAATATCTTCGGAAACATTTATAGGTATTCTTGAAGATTTTATATCCTTACTTTCATTACTGATACATTCAACAGGCTTGTGACTTATAATGATACCTTTTTTATCAGCTTCATTACTAAAATAAAATCATTTATTTATAATTTCGAAAATAAAAATATCAAATCAATATCAACATAGGGCACAATTATCTACATAAACATTTACATACTTTTTAATTTTTTGAACTTGTTTTAACTTAAATGATTTTGGCCCAGGCCTTAGTTTGATTGGAGGTAAATTCAAAGAAATATCGTCTAAACCATCAACTACAGGTGAATCATTTCCAACTGAGATGTCAGAATCACTGTCATTTTCGTTTTCCGTCACTGAGATATTGATAGTAACATTTGCTCGTCTACAAAATAAAATGTAAAAAATTATAAAATATGCTCAACATTAACTTACAAAGATTAACTATTAAATCATGGAAATTTACGGTATAGTTAAATTATTAGAATTAGTAGTTGAATCATTTGGTGTAGCTCCGGCAGTGGAAGATTTTTCTAAAAATTTATAAAAGTACCTTAGAAAATTTCATTTTTTGTTAAATTATTATTAAAAAGTGACTGCTTACTGGTTATAGCCATGCATTCTTGACACTCCCACATTGGATTAGTCAATTTCAATTGTCCACAAGATACATGTATTCCTTGAGAACCACACAATCTACATAATATCAACTCCCACTTACTGAAACAAAAAAAAAATTAGGCATGGTTTCTCACTGCATATAATTTTAAAATCTTATTTGAATTAGATAAAAAAAGAACTTTACTTACGCACTAGTAGTGGAATAAGTTCTACCCTTTGGGCATAGACACGGCTCAGCATCACAACGATCATGTCTGTATAATAACTCTTGAAAAGCATTTGGCACCAATTCCCATGAGGCATCTCTAATAGAAATAAAAATCATTTAACAATCATACTGATTCAAACCACTCATTTTTATTATGTTACTTACTGTCTTGGAATGTAAATACCATACTCTAGCATGGCAGTTTGGAATTCTCTTTTATTGTTACATAATGGGCACTTAAAAAAATATCCTGCACTCATAGCTAATTGCTGTAGAAATTTAAGTCCATAAAACATTATTGATTTATACCTGAATTACATCAACCAATTTTAGAAATAATTACTTACTTGAACACATTTTCTGTGAAACCAAGCATTTTTTTTACAACATGGGGCCCATAGGGTATTGTTAGTGTCAAATGGTTCCACATCCTCATAACAAATATAGCACAATATGTTAACCATATTTTTGACTTCATTTTTTACTCTTTCATCAATGTTTTGTATTGGTCTGTGATTTATGCAGTAAGATCTAATCATAATGAACATCACAATATTATTTACTAAATTTTATTATTTGTTAGTTTGAAAAAGAAATTTGCTGTAATCAATTAATTTAAACCTGAATTCTCCGAAGAACTGATGTAACGATCCTGCTTTTAAACCACATGGTAGATGAAAAATACGTTTGCACTTAACATTACAGCATCCTAAAGTTGCACCACTCTTTTTACAGTGTGAACAAACCTTTGACAAAAATGTATTAGGAATGATATGGAATATGTAGTGCGTAAATACTCAAAATTCGTCTTACAAGTCTTTTGCCTCTACGAATCTCTTTTTGAATATCATCACCTAGAAATCCTAAAATGCCTTGATCATCACTACCTTTCTGTTCCATATTTGAAGACAAGAGCTAAAAAGTGATATTTCAAATTAAATGATAAAAACATAACATTGCTATTCAATCTACAACTAGGAATAAATTGACAATAAAATTAGATAATTGAAAATTAGATAAAACTAAATAATTGGAAAAGGATTTAATAATTACCAAACAATAATAATGAGTAACGATTCCCTCGTATTCATAAAATTTTCCAAACTCCAATTCATTGTCATCAGGAAGACCACAAAAGCAGCAGAGCTTTTTGCCATCCTTTACAAAAGACCGTGACATTTGAGATTTGTTTCGTCGAGACATTGTTTGCTCTGGAAATGTGTTTGTATTAACTGCAAAAAAAATAATAAAGTAAATAAAAGCTGTAAAATTATCTGACTACATTTTGAAAGTATTAAGACTGGAAATATGTTTAAATTTACCAAAACTACATTTCAACAAAAGCAGGATACTCTTGAAAAAGCGTCATTTTCTGAAGCGAAAGCTTCCCAGCAAACAAATTTTTGTACTGACGTCCATGACAGCTCACGACTCGACATTCTAAGAGTATAATCCAACCCTAACATTCGTCAAAATTTAAAGAATCGTTCTTCATACGAAAACTACTCAGACTCCAATTCGTCATCAACGAAAAATGAATTCTAAACAACCTTTCGCGACTCAAGAACAAAAATAATGGAATCAAGTGTTATATGAGATTTGATCTGGATGTTTCTTCATTATACAATGAACATAATTACAGATATAAATATCAAAATGCAGCAATAATTTAGTCTAAATAGGCTATGACAACATTCAATATTACAATTGACTTTATTACGAAAATTTAACGTAATCATGAATTTAACAAAATAACATGTAACTTGAGATTTATTATTAAATTAAAATAATTTTGGTTAAACTTGTTTGAATCATCAGTGACAAACACAAAAATAGTATTTTTGAAGTTTGTGTACAAAACAAGCGATTGCAAACAACGCGAACTACCACCACTACTCAATTTTATGTGAATCTCTTTTGGCACAATGTTCACTGAAAAATTGTGAACGTATCCCAGTCATAAAACTAAAACAACGAACGTGAGATTCAATCATGCAGTGAGGCAACGCATGTATAAACGCTCGATAAGCCCTGATAAATAAACAAAGCGTCTATAACCACTATAAGTCTAGCTAAGGTAAGAGAGTATATCCCGTAGAGATAGCTAAAGACGATATTATGGAAGGAGAGAGACTTTCAAAGAAGAGCAAAGCACATGGCAGCGTTGGCTTCGAGAAATCGATTGTTGCCGGCCGCTCTCCGCGAATTCAGCGACAATGTTCCGACCACTGCGTATTTCGGTGCAAATTGTGTAGATCTTTGTATCGAATACTTTATTTTGTTATTGTTTTCATTTTCTTTCATTTATTGATTCTTTATGGAATTTTACCAACTGTCTTTGCCTTTATTGTTCTTTTACATCTCAGAATTATTCTTACTACATGACTTCAGTTGAGCGTTGCTCTCGGAAGTTAACCTGTTCGTAAACGCAGAAAAGAACGCAAAATTTGCTGCATCATAATTATAGATTTCACGTTGATACCTAATCATAAACAATGAGTTCTACTAAGGTAAGTTATTTAATTTTGTTTACTATGTCCTTTATTTAATTAGCAATTTATTTTTTACTAATTATTGCTAATGAATACAATTTGAAGCAAAGAAAATATTGAATAAATAATAATGAATAATTATTTGCAGATTGAATTTGATGTGCAAATGACATGTCAAAAATGTGTCAATGCTGTAAAAGGTGCTTTGTCTAAACTTGATGGAGTTAATGACTTGGAAATATCTTTGGAACAAGGTTCTGTTGTTGTTGATACAAATTTATCCTTCTCAGAAATTCAAGAAGTCATAGAAAGCACTGGTAGAAAAGCTGTTCTCAAAGGTTATGGGGGTAAGTTTTAATTTCAAAATAGTTTATGAAAGTTTCAATAATAATTGATATTTTTTTAGAAAATGACAACAATGCAGTATCAATGTTAGGAGGAAACTCTGGCTACAGCTTTGGAGAATTAATAAAAGGAGTAGTTAGATTTGTACAAACAAAAGATGGATGTATAGTAGATGGTGCTATTGATGGTTTAACTGCTGGGCCCCATGGGCTTCACATTCATGAATGTGGTGATATTTCACAAGGATGTGAAAGGTAAAACTGTTATTTTTATCTATATTTTACATTATGTAAAAACCAATTCAGATTATGGAACAATTATAATTGCAGTGTAGGTGATCATTTTAATCCTAACAATTCACCTCATGGAGGACCAAATGATCCACCTTCTCGGAGGGTATTATCTTATTATTTCTAAAAAAATTACTATCTTGACCTATAATGAACTATATTCAATTAGCATGTTGGTGATTTGGGAAATGTAGTAGCAGATAAGACAGGGAAAGTAACATTCAAAATATTAGATAATATGTTAAAAGTGCAGGATATTATTGGAAGATCTCTAGTAGTTACAGAAAAGGAAGATGATCTTGGAAAAGGCAAATTTCCTGAATCCAAAATAAATGGAAACAGTGGAAAAAGGCATGTTTACTTTTCTTGATTAATTTGTTAACTAATAATTTGGATTTTATTGCAATATTTTTATAAGTTTAAAAATTTACTTTAATCATAGAAGTTACAAATAGTTTCTCCACAACATAAACATAAAGTTAATTTATTTTAACAAATTATAAGATTATGTAATGTATATATCTTATTTATTTCATTGGCTACATTGATATTTGATAGTTACTAATGAAAAAAATGTGAAAGTATAGGTAACTAAATATTTCATATTTTTTTAATTGTACTCAACGTAAGTGATACATGCAATAATGAAAAAGTGCTAGTTATGAGCTATGAAGGATATATTTTTACCTTAATTAGAGTTATATAATTGTAATAATGTTTTTATGAATTTTTCAAATTAAAAAAAACGTAAAAATAATAATTATTATAAACTAAAGCTGTATGAAACTCGATAATTAAAATGAAATGACAATTTCTCGCGAAAGCATAGTCATGTTAAAATGTTAATATAGTACTCAAAAAGTTGAAAAAGATCATAAAGATTTGTAAAACACTCAATGTTCAACTCACATAACATGCTATAATAACTTATCAATATAGAAACAACATAGGTAGTTCCAGTGACATATATAGTGAAACGGAGTAGCAGCTGTTGGATGCAAAAAGCGCGGGTAAACAGAGATACATGAGTAAGTTCGATGAGCTTACCTGTTAGGTTAGGAAGGGAATTCCTCATTCTGCTAGGCGGGGCAGGATTGCTGGAAAGGCTAGGTACGATGGGCTCCTCGTTGACGATGTCATTTTCTGTCAGCAATTCATGATCCACCGAGGAAGCCACTTGTGGAGTCAGAGTTTGGCTCAAAGTGGCGGTTACCGGTGGCGGTGTTGGCGGTTTGACATTACTCGTATTCGTGTCTACTCCATTACTACTATTACTACTGCTACTACTTATACTACTACTACTACTAGTAGTAGTCATAACCGGTTCACTTTTACGCCTAGCACCGACCTGGGAGTCTAGAGTGAACCTGGGGGAAGGTTTATACTGGCGACGCTCCTTAATCATCTTGTAAACCCGCATACGGCATCCGTGACAGACCTTGCGTCCAAAGTTAACGTGAGCGAGCCTGTCGCGCACTTCCTGGGGCACAAGTCTCAAGCCGGTGATCACCACGTGTCGAGGTATACGAAATGGATTACTACAACGCTCGATGTTCATCTTCCTCGAGGCTTCCGACTCCGATAAAGTTGCTGTAGGTGTTACCAGCCTTGGCGCCGGCATCGCGAAAACGCACGCCTTTGTGAGGCGCTCACTCTAGTAAACTCTGTTAGGCGACGCGCGCGACTGTCTGAATTTGAAGCAGGAGAAGCCGGTCATTGCTGTATGTTTTTGACCTAACGTTTCTATACTTAATTGTATATATATATATATATTACTTGCAGACTATACTGCAGCTGCTACTCTCCCCCTCTCTTTTTCTTCTTCTTGGGCTCCCTCTTCTGGATCTACTACTATGCTACCGCTGCTAATTTTTAATATTCCTGGACATTTTTAATTTGCGACTTGCAAAGTTCGCAATCGACATTAATTATCATTGATTACATGTGCGCGCGACCATCGGAGTTTTCTTTTCATCTTATAAGTTGAGTCGTTCCATCAACAAATATAAACCCCAATTCAACCTCTCTAATTTCACGTGATCGATAAAAAATCATTTCGATTTTAAATATCGCGGGAAACGAATTAACCGTGAAGAAGATGGTGTAACCATTGCTTTACCGACCGTATAATTGCGGTTCAAAAGTTCACAACACAACTCACAAGTGTCATTTATATATAACCGTATAGATTTTACAATGTACTTTTAAATTTTTAACTATTTCTAATATTTTTTTGGATTGTTATAAAAATATAATTATATAAAGGATATAATGGATACTTTTACCATAGAGTACGCTACATATCAGTCACGAATAACTTTTAGATAACATATATTTTAACTCGATGGCGCAAAAAGTTGACTATATAGTAATAGCTGTATTTAAGAACGTTTTCTGACACACTGTTACTTAAGCTTGTTCATAGCTTTTTACTCTCATTAAGGCACTTTAATCCTCTCATAATAACTGAATTTGTTTTAAGCTGAAATTTTTAGCTGAAAAATATAAAATTGAGTTTTCAAAGTTACAATCTGAACTTGAAGTAAATATATTTACTTCTGGAAAATTGGAGCATATCATTCTGAATGTAATAATGTCAATTTTTCGTACCAAGAAATTCATTAACTTTTTCCGTTATTGTTATAAAATGAAAAGTGTTCCTATAAAAATGCCTCTTTGAGTTATAAAAGTGATCCTTCAAGCAAATAATTTTGTCCTGCTGGCGAGGCACTATTACCAAAAAAAAATTTTTTAAATGAAATAAAAATGAGAAAATGATAATATTTCGATCTAGAAAAAATGTAATGGATTCTATAGAATTTGATTTTGAATAATCTATAATTATAAATCGATTGTATGCATAGGAATTACTTGTTAAAAAATCAAACGCTCTTCTGTATTTTTTTAAATTAATATTTTAATATCAAACTGATTTCGCTTGACACTGTTTTTTAAAAAGTTATATAATTTAGACAATAATAAAAAATTACGTAGCAATTAATTACGATATAATAATCGTGTATTTCACTTAATCGAATTCTCGCCAATGTATTAAAAATACAATGATCGTAAACAATAACGAAAAATCATATTTTATGCACGAATCGATATATTTGGTAGTAATCTGTCTATAAAATAATAATTGTTTAAATCTTTTTTTTTTCAGATTAGCTTGTGGTATAATAGCAAGATCATCTGGATTATTTCAAAATACAAAAAAAATTTGTGCATGTGATGGGCTCACATTATGGGATGAAAGGAACAAAAGCATTACTAGTCAGAAAAATGCAGATAGTAATTTGTTATCCAACAATGCTGTATGCACCATTTTTTAGACTATTTTCCATTTAATAAAAATTGTAAAATACTTTCTATGCAAAAATTGTTATAGTATATATTACCTAACATGTTGGAGGAAAGTAAATTCTTGATTGAGTAAAGCGAGGGTAAAAAGTTAGACGAGACGAGTCTCTTTTTCTGAACATGTTAGGTCCGATATTTTTCAAAACAACGTATGCAAAGCGTGAATTTGAGTGTACGTTTTCCGCCGAACGTGCGGCAAAGCCATACTTTCCACACGGCGTGTTAAAAACGGATTATAAATCTTCTACACTGTTATTCGTTTATACAATTTGTTGAATAATATAAATTCATGTACACTTTCTTTCTTTATTTCAGTGAGTATTTGGATGACATGAAAAGAAATTTCCAAAGAGGCAGGATAAAATTTTTGAATGAGACCACTAAAATCATTCCATGAAGAATTATTTTTTTTATGTGTGAAAAGAAAATGTAGAAGTTATGCAGTAACAATAAGTCGAAAAATATAATGTTATAAAATCAGAATATGTTTTTCTATTTATTAAATTCCAGCATTTGATTAAAAGTTATGCATAAGTATTAATGGTAGAAAACAGTACAAAAAATTTATAAACATTTCAAGTTCAAGTAATCAATATAAATATACTTAATCGGAGTCTATATCTGAGTCATCAGAATACTTTTCGCGAATAGTTTTTCTAGTTACTGATTGTTTTTGTATTTTCGTATTGTCAGGTGGATGCATCAAATCACCATTATAATTAATAGCACCACCATGTGCTATTCTCCATTCCAATACTTCTGTTGAAAAATCGTCACAGTTGCCCAAGTCAGTAAATCCAACTATATAATCCTTTGTTTTACTATCAACAACTAAACCGATTGTTGGAATAACTCTTATTTTTAATCGTCCTGAAAAAATACAAAGGAATATTCAATACTTTTCAATATTTATTTTAACCGATTGCTATTTGATATTCTTAAAAACTTTAAAATACCCGTTAAGAAAGGGCACTTTTCAACATTCAATTTTATAAATCGAGTCTCTATGTGTTTTTTACACAATATTTTGAGATGCATGTCAACAATTTTACAACGTTCAGTTCCATCTTTATAAAAATGACATACAACTTTGTCTGATTTTTTGCAAACTTCAAAAAACTCTTTTTCATCGCTTAATTCTGTATATTCTCCATGACCCTATAATTAAAATATTCAGAATTATAAATACTTCTAAATGTTTAATTTTAAAAAATAACATATACATATATTATAAAAATCACCTGAGAGAGCCATATTTGCTTCTGTTGTTGCATCTTTTTCATTTCTTTTAATCTGTGTTCACGTAATTTTTCAATATCATCAATATTCAAGTTATCTAATTTTTCTATCTCTGCATCTAATTGTTTTTCTACGTGAGATGCTATCTCTGCAACTTTTTGCTGTATGACTTGATCCATAATTGTTTTTTCTACTAAAAATTAATAAAAGTTTATTAGTTTAGTTACTTTTTAAAAATATATATTTAAATATTCTTGAATATAACCAACTTTCTATGGTTCATATAGTTATTTTTTATATAAAAGAACAATCAATCAAGTTTTTTCAATAATCAAAAAAATTATATTAAATGAAAAAAAGAGTGTGTACAAAATTAATGGTCAGTGCTTATAAAAATTTCTTTGATTTAAGTATATGACAAAATTATCATTTCCAAAGTTAGTTTTGATTATATGAATTATTATACAAAGTATTGTTATTTCTTAATATATGAAAATCTTATTTACAGGAAATCCTTTCGATACCAAATAAGGTAAGAGATTCACGTGAACACCTATTTATTTCTTTTACTCATACACTATAGTGTTTGCGTAGGATTGACAGTTTTTGGTTAAGTTGTTACGAATGTTGTTACCAACTTGCCGGCTTTAAAAACAGTCTAATTAAATATTAATCGTCAATCAAAATTGCATCTCGAATAATTAGCAAGCAACTTCATTTATCGCACGTTTTTAGAGTTTTTAAAAATTGTTGAAGTCATTGATAATGATAAAGTACGGATTATGTGTAACAGATATTTAATTAATTGATATCTCAAATTTGACTGAAATTATAACTACGTATCATTGTTTATAAAAAATGTACCGATTAATTACATCACTGGACTTGCCGAGCAATACTATATCTGAGTTACAGAAAAGGGGATTTATTTATGTGGAGGATTTATTAAATAATCTAGGTAAGACAGAAATTGTATTGTATAATTGTTTTTATTTCCATTATATCCGAAAATATATAATTTATAATTTTGTTCCGTTTTAAAGAAAATAATGATTAATTGCTCAAACTAAAGATGATACATTTTATGTTTCTTAGAAAATTTACAGAAACTCAGTCTTGATGTATCTGTAATTAAAAAGCTATTACAATTTTCTGAAAATATGGCCTTAGATGTTTGGCAGGTATTTAAATTTCATATTCATTATTTCTACTTGATTGTAATATTTTTTGTTGTAATAAATTTAAAATTGAATGTATAATATTCTTATAGAGAGAATCTCAAAAAGAAGGTATATCAACATGTTGTTCTCTTTTGGATAATATTTTTGAAAATGGAGTACAATGTGGAGTAATTACTGAATTAAGTGGTGCCTCATTCTCAGGGAAAACACAAATTTGGTGATTTTTAATGTGGCAGTTGATTAATAATAATAATCAATGTCTTTATATATTTTGATAGCTTCTGTTATAAGAAAACTTTTTTAACAATTATATTTTTTCAGTATGCAACTTTGTATATCTGTGCAATTGAAAAAATGCCATGGTGGATTAAATGGACGAGCTATATACATAGACACAAGAAGTGGAATTTCTGCCCTAAGATTCAGTGGTAAGACTATTTTATCAAATTTTAATTAAATTTATTTGTACTTGACAGAATTACTTAATTATTTTTTGTACAAATTTGGCAGATATAACATTCACATGTTTTAAGTATAAATTGCTTTATACTGTTGAAAAACAGTTAGATCATGCATTAAATTGCTTCATTATTTTATATCGATAATTGAAAAACATCAACGATGATCCCCATTAATATGAATGTTTTTTTTCTAAACAATATTCTAGAACTTAAGCATTTATGCATATTACACCATTTTTTTTTTGGGCATTTGAAAAATAGTTCATTAATTATTCATATGTTCTAATCTTCTAAATTTATAGATGTTATCATATCTCTAAACTAGTTTTAGAGATTATTTTCAGACCATTTTTTGCAATTAAGGTTGACTATTATTAAAACATTCTGAAAGGAGTCTCATTTTAATGGAAATTTCAATTAATATTTGAAATATTCTGTAAGTGGCAATTTGTTCATAGTTCAATCTACTTAAGTATTTTTATTGACTTGCAATATAAGTATATATGTGCATATTTTTTAAATTAATGATGTAAGAAAAATACAATCTACTATATATATGTACTGAAACTCTCTAGCAATATTTGATACTATGATAAACTATCATTTAAGTGCTTTAAGATTCCAAGGATATTTTTACAACAAAGAGAGAAAAAGATATCACACTAAAAATTACACTAATGTATGTAACTATTAACGATATCAGTTAAAATCTCTATATATGATAACATATTGGTTTTGATAATAAACACCCTCATTTTCATAATCTCTGTGAGGCCTTAAGCTGGAAAATTGATTTGTTTCACAGCACAAGTAAGTTACATTATTTTGCAAAATATCACATATTCTTTTATGTTCCTTTTGAGCTTCTTCAGCAGTATATGATGTTAAAACAAATGGACATTTTTGTTCAGGCAGGCTTCGTATTGATTCCGACCATGAGTCATTAGGAGAATCTATATTTTCACATTCATGAATTCCTAAATTATATCCTACAATAATATCAGGTTTAACAAAACACTCACTAACAACATACTCTTTATATAAAACACCATTCATTTCAAGATAGAGTTTCATATTCTTTTCATTACAACAATCACAAATGTCACATTCCAGTTTTTCACTGTTGCTATCTAATTCTGGGCCAATTAAGACAATATTTAAGACAGTTAATGTTGGTATCCAATGAAGAAGTATTTCCCAAATTTCTATTCCATCAACCTCTATCATATTTGCTCCAATTACATGAATGGTTAATGTGGAGCCAATTGGGTGTTCTAGTCTTTCCAAAGCATAAAGTAAAGTTAATGGTCTAGTGAGATATTCTGATATGTGAGGTATCTGAATATCACTGGGCACATTGAGAGATTTGTCTTCATTCATATATAAGTCAATAAAGTTTCTTATAGAACCTGGCAAATATGCTGTTTCTGTATGATAAGGTACAACATTCCGTGGAGGGTGTCTGATAAAAACAGTGGTGGCTATGTCTAAATCATAGCAAAGACTAAGCATTTGACATATTTTGTCATGATTAGAATCATTTTTGTGTTTCTCACAAAAACTGGCACAAGGGCATGATGAACAGTCTGTTAATAACTTTAAGTTTGTTTCATGACAAACAGCACAAGCCCTAGGAAACTTGAACATTTCTTCTTCATATGGAAGTAATCTTCTATCAAGTTTTATACTGACCATCAGCATTAAATTTGTTTTTGCTTTAATCCAATCATCTGCACTAGCATTTTGATAGCCTTCCAAAAGATTGGACTTGTCTGTCTCATCGAGCATTTCAGCCAGAACACGACATACATTTTTATGCTGTAGCCAGTGTTGCTTTTGGTGTTCTTTTCCGCAGTAAGAGATCATTTTACAATTACTACACTTCTTTAAAGGTGTTTCATTTCCACTTGATTTACAAACATGACAAGTATTTGGGTAGAAAAAGAGATTATGTAAGTCTTCAGTCATGGTGTGAAAAATTGGAGTCTTCTCTTTCTGTAATCATAAAAAAACTTTGATTAACTTAACCATTTATTACATAAATAGAGTAATTATGTCTTAATTACCTACCAAACTAATAAGCTGTACAAGCAGAGAGTATGGTTAAGATAAAAATTAGTTATTTTACCACAATTGTGCAACAACTTTTCCCCAAAAAGCTTATTCTATACATTTTTTTTTAAATACAATTTTGTACAAAATTTTGTATACAGTTTGAAAAATCACAAACTATTTTAAAACAGTATAAATTAACAATAATAGGAACACTTAGAGGATGCAATTTTACTTCTGCATATGAGCATCAATGAGCATTCATGTGTGTGAACTGTGAACTACTGTGGCTTAGCGGTAGTGATTTAACCATGAAAAATTTCGCGTTTGCGCTTTACGCCTTCTTTTTGTGATGGGTCCTGGTCGTGAGTGGTAATTATTTTCGATTTGAGTTATTTATAACTTTATTTAGTTGTAATTAATTATTGAAGCGATTGATTACTAAACAAAAGAAAAAATTATTGACCGTATTCAAATTTCAAAAAACAATTAGATTAATATATAGGATAGGCTACTCTACTGATAATGGTTGGCTGAAATTTCAAATGAGATTTCCGCAAGTGAAATCTCTGCCAGTGAAGCGATATCTCATCTATGGCCTATCCCGAGAACTTAGCTGCGAATTTGATTCAGTTTTTTACCTGAGATCACGGTGAAAGATTAAAAGAAGCGAAAGTCCACATTATCATTCGTCACATTTAATGAATGAGAATTATACTCATTGTAATCAACAATAAAATTAAAAACATATTTTACAATATTCAATTTAATATAAGAAGTGAGAATATGATAGCGTATATTCTGTAAAAAATAGAAAATGTTTATTAATGTATTTGAATGGAAGTTCTAATTGAAATAAATAGGACATGACAAATAATTTGAAAGTATGATATGAAATTTATTCACATCAAAGTTACAAAGCTAAGATATATAGCTTTAAAAATATCAAAAATTTTGAAGTTTATTTTCCAAATAGATTTGTCAACTAATGTGTAATAAATCAATTAAATTTTAAGTATGTATAAAAAAAAGCATCCTCAAAATAAATTAAAAAAATATTCACAGTAAAAATGTATTATAAGATACTATTTGTAGAGAAAGGAACAAAGTTCTACGATCCAACGTGTAAAATATTAATAATGCGATATTTTTGTAACTTACTTTTCTAAACAATCTTAAAAAATATAAGAAGCTTTATCAGATTTGGAATAAATAAAAAAATTAAAATTTTAGCAGTGAATAATTAATATACTTTTGGCAACAAAACTACCACACTTTAACGAGTTTATGGATAATATATGGTTCAGTCTGATTTTTTCTTTTATTCCTGCGCAACTGCAACCCGGCAAACGTCAAAAATATTGAATTAATATATACAGGGTGGCCCATTTTAAGTGATCCACTCAGATATCTAGATTGGAGTGAGTTTTATCGAAAAAAGTTTCAGACAAAAGTTACTCAACTTTGAGGGGGCCATGTTTCTATGACCTTGGATTTGACCTTGGAGGTCATGTTCAAGGTCATTTCAAGGTCAACTTTGTTTTTTTAAATAGGAACCCCCATTTTTGATCCCGGATTCGGAAAGAGCGGGAAATTTTACGTCCAAAACGGTATTTTTAAATTTTTTTTCATGGCCTAGAGAAGGTCGATTTAAGGTCAAATGCTTGAAAAACTGCCTAAAAGCGTTTTTTTAATTTTTAAGATATCGAAAAATGACCTCTACAAAATTTATTCAGAATAGAGTGGGCCACCCAATGCACCAAAAACCTTTGACCTTTAACCTAATTTTGAAGGTCATTTCAAGGTCGAAGTGTTGTTTGTAATGGAAATCCCTCTTTTTAACCCCGGATACGCACATAGCGCGAAATCCGACGTTTGGATAAGGTATTGTGTTGAGTTTCGCGCTATGTGCGAATCCGGGGTCAAAAAGAGGGGTTTCCATTACAAAAAACACTTCGACCTTGCAATGACCTTCAAAATGAGGTTAAAGGTCAAAGGTTTTTGGTGCATTGGGTGGCCCACTCTATTCTGAACAAATTTTGTAGAGATCATTTTTCGATATCTTAAAAATTAAAAAAACGCTTTTAGGCAGTTTTTCAAGCATTTGACCTTAAATCGACCTTCTCTAGGCCATGAAAAAAAATTTAAAAATACCGTTTTGGACGTAAAATTTCCCGCTCTTTCCGAATCCGGGGTCAAAAATGGGGGTTCCTATTTAAAAAAACAAAGTTGACCTTGAAATGACCTTGAACATGACCTCCAAGGTCAAATCCAAGGTCATAGAAACATGGCCCCCTCAAAGTTGAGTAACTTTTGTCTGAAACTTTTTTCGATAAAACTCACTCCAATCTAGATATCTGAGTGGATCACTTAAAATGGGCCACCCTGTATATATAATGTTTTTATTGGCATAATCTGTGTACATTATATAGCCACATCACCACCACAGTGCGCCGGTGAGGGCGCTGTGAATTACAGTGTTCAAATACAAAATTGGTTCCATAAAAATTATAAATTCAAACTAGTATAATGATATGTAGTATAAAAATATGGCCATTTAGAACTTCTGACGATACAAAAATACGAGTGATTTTTCTATAAGTGGTACAATGTAAAAGTGTAAAACTTCTAGGTCTGTATAACTAATAATACAGCATATAAAATCTCTCACGGTGCAAAAAATATACGTGATTTTTATAACTAGTGCAATATAAAATTATAAAACATAACTCTTTATGGCATTCAGTTTTAGTAATACTAAGATAAACTTGACGGTTTAACAGCCTACATAGTATTTTAGTTGACAACTTTCTTAACTTTGGTAGACAACTTACTTAAAATATTTGTACTTGCATCTATATTAAAAAATAAAAATAATAGGAAAGAATAAAAGTTTTAATTAGCAACTAAACAAGAAGTTAAATATTTATGTCTATTCTTAGAATAAAGTCTGATAAAACATCTATTACATTTATGTTCATGTCTTTGAGAAGAGGAATTTTTGAGGTAGGTTCGGATTTAGTTAATCTTAACAGTTCTTTGGACATTTTGGTTCTTTGCTTAGATAACAGTTCACAGCGCCAAAAGACATGATCAATGTTCTCTTTTTCTTTCCCACATCGGCACATATCAGAACTTACAATGTTGAATCTGAACAAATGATAATTTAATGACATATGGCCACTTCTTATACGATTTAACGTAGTTATTGATTTTCTTGGCAAATGAAATGAACGAATTTTTGCTTCTGTGGTATATCTTTTAGAAATACAGAGTCCGAACTTTTCCAAATAACATACGTAAATATGTTACAATAAAAAATGTTAATTGCATAATATTTTTAATACTTATTTTATAAATAAATGTCTGTTTATTCCAAAATAAATTGAATTTGGGATAATTTACATCGGATTTAACGTGTATACTAAAAAATGAAATTGAATGTTCATACCGGAGATAAAAAGAGGAACATATTCGCGCGTACGGCATATTAATATTGATAAAATGTTAAAAATAAAAAAATAAGTTTTAATCTTAAAAACAGAAAAAAATGAAAAAGCCGAACAAAAAGTTGAATGTCTATTGCCAAAGTCTACGATTTCGGCATCTGTTAATCTTTTCGGAAATGTTATTTAGCATGCCTGTGCGTTAATACTCTGACTTTTAAGCATGGAGCTCCATGAAAAAATCGTTGAACAATGCTGAAAAATACAAATAAGAAATAAGTCGATGATTAAGCTGCAATTAAGTAATATTAATAAACTTTCGTAACAGTTGGTTAAATAAATTGGTTGAAAACAAGTGCAAAAGCACGAAATAAATTGAGAGATTAATACAATTAGATTAGGTTTTTACTGTGAGCGTGGATTAATAGGACATGTTAATTAAACGGGCGATCGTAAACGTGACACGAAATAAAAGAAATGGTGTTGGTTTATTTTATCTTTCGGCAACGAAACACAACAGTTCTGGCCGAGAGGCTTAGGTGTACGGAGTAAATACAAATATCAATAGCGGTACTTGTTGATTGTAATAGGTATAAGAGAGAGAGAGAGAGAGAGAGAGAGAGAGAGAGAGAGAGAGAGAAAGTGAGAAAACAAAACACATGCGAGCTAACTTGAATCTCCAAGGATGCTAAACACATCAAAACACTTGCCAAGTAAACATCGTTGCTGTAGACAACGATGCAGATGTTGGTCGGTAAGGGCGCGAGAGCTGCTGGCGTTGATCGATCACCCTCCGTTTCTTCGTGGCGTCTAGAGAGCGACAGCCCCAACGATGACGATTTTTCCTCTATCGCATGCCGCTCTCCCCCTCCCCCCTGCCACTTTTCAACCTCGTACTTTTACTTGGTGCGCTCCCGAATTTTACGCCAGCCTATCTCACGTTCGCTCTTTTACATCATGGTCGCTCCTTAGTCTACACGCGTGCCTTAATGAATCTTTATTCGTTACATTTTCGAGTTGCTTTAATTTTTTGATGAGATTTATTCATCAGGTTCATTTCCTTAACCATATTTTGGATTAGACGTTTGGCGAAAGGAGAAATGATGGATGTTTAGGTGCATAAGATGAAATAAATAATTATATCACACTGGTAATATATAAATATCACTATAATATTGAGTTGGAATGGGTGTGCTATGCGCAGACGAGCACTACAGAGTACCGCGAGTGATGCACGCGCGTACCAAAGAGTGTAGCGAGACGAGGAGTTGGCGATGCTCACTCGACGAGACGTTGCGTCCTTCTGGTCATTCGCGGGGATGCAAGGATGCACCACCGAGCCAGGCTTTTGCTTCTCACTTTCTCCGAGAACACTCATTGCTTTTGCTCGTCGAAGAGGGAGAAGAAAAAGCGAAAATATGATGGAAAAAAGTGCGCACGCGGGCATGCTACAAAAAAGGCCCAGCCGAAAAGGTTCGGCTGTCGTTTATTGCACTACGTGCTCAATGAGCTGATCGCTTGTCGGACACCATAAAAAATAAATCGTAAATCAACTAAGGTGTTGATTTACGATTTATCGGAAAAACTGAGAGAAAGGTTGAGGAACATGTGCGGTGCAAATTTTGGAAAAGTCTGCGACCCCACAGTACCCCCTGCCAGTGATGAAGTCACGAAAAGAAAGCACAAATAGTGATGATGAACGCGTGACAATGAATGATTATCATAATACAGTAAAATTAATTGAAACCAGCTTGATAACGCTCTGCGAAACGTACACGACGTGTGGATCTTCGGATAGCTGGTTGTTGTCCGTTGTTTTCATGAGCTGTCATGAAATCACGATAACGCACCAGCGCACAAGTCAATCGTTGCTAACTTAAAAAAATGGCTTGGCGGTAAGAGATTTGCGGACAATAAAGTAATCGAAGCTGTAAATGGGTATTTTGAGGAGCTTGACGAATCAGTCTATAGAGATGGCATTACTAGACTAGAACACCGCTATGAGAAATGTATCAGCCTTGGAGGAGATTATGTTGAGAAATAAAAAAAAAAATTCTTAAAAACGTTGTTTTTCTTGGTCAGGTCGGAAACTTATCAATCCACCCTCGTAAAACTATTTAAAAAAATGGTTCACTCAAGACCTACATGGTGGCTTGAATACAATGTCAAGCTTCTAGTTTCCCGATTCGGTTTCAAAAAATCCCGGTCATGCTCAGATAACTTATGAATCCTTACAACGAAGATCTACATTAATTTTGGAAAAGGTTTATACGTGTCAGCTGCTTATCTTGATGTTAAAATTGCTTTTGATGACGTTGATGTTAGCTCACTGGCATACCTTCTGAAAGATTTGGGTCTGGCGAAAAGTTTATGCAAATGTTATCACAATGTCACCTTGAAAAAAATAGTTCGTTTTACTATTAATAGTAACATTTATAGACCTTTCATTGTTAGAAAAGAAGTTCCGCAAAGTTGTATTTCTAGCCCTACTCTTTACAGCATTAGTGTTATCCATTTAATATATATTTCAGTTATTAACGGTGAATGTTTACAATTTAGTTAGGTTCACAAAATTGCCGACGATCTCGCCAAAAAAGCTACAGGTATCGGAACAAAATCGGCTCATTTCATCCCTTATTCAGATTTCCGTTAACTAGTCAACGACATCTGCAAAACGAAATTCCACGATTTTCTTATAAACTTCGATACAAACAAAGGGATGCTATACTTTGACCTATGCTATGAAAACTCGTCTAAACCACGGTTCTACAAACTACCACTGCTAAAGATGGAAGCAGTTACAATAACGCGGGTAAAACGCAATCACTACAGCCTTGCCTAGAGGGCTTGCGTTAAGTTAAGCCCCACTGGTGCCAATAAAACAGAACAGAACAGAAAACAAAATTTGTAACGGCTCGCTTGTTAACTGTTGCGTTTGTGAATTACGATAATGAAAGAATAATTTTGTGTTTAATTTTTGTTTAACTTTTTGGTAATTGTAGTAAGTAAATGATGTGAAATGATCGCAAAAATGATAAATTATGTTTTTTAGTGAATAAAAGTTACATAGTTTAAAATCTGTGCTGATTAATAAGAATCATGGGTATCCCTGGATTAGCGTCATACATTAAACAAAGATCAGAAACTTTTTCAAAAAGAATTGAATTGCATGATACCAAATTAGTTATTGATGGATATTGTATTGCTTGTGAACTGTACGTTTCAAACAAATGTAATTATTGTTTTGGAGGTGACTATGGAGAATATGCATATTATGTATCAGAATTCTTAGACGAGTTATTAAAATGTAAAATAACTCCTTTGGTAATATATGATGGTGGTTTAGAAAGCAAAAAATTAAAGACCATATTAAAGCGTTCAAAAGAAAAACTTCTATTAGCATCATATTCTACACCTACTAACGAGCAAAAAATAATTCCTCTTTTGATATTCGATATTTTCAGATATATTGTACAACGTAAAAATATCACAATAGTTCAATCATTATTTGAAGCAGATAATCATATTGGTTCTATAGCTAGGATCTTACATTACCCAGTATTAAGTAATGACTCAGATTTTTTTATTTTTGATGTTAAGTATATTCCCTATAGTTCATTAGAAAATGGAATCTTTATAAATTCTAGTGGTAATGGATATGTCAAGTACTGCAGAGTATTTACAAATGATAATTTTATAAAGAATTTTCATGGTATGAATAAAACCAGCTTACCATTAGCAGCAGCTCTTTTGGGAAATGATTATATTGATAGTAATTTGTTTGAACATTTTTTCTCCTCTATTTCTATTTCTGATGTCTTCAAAGAAAGTGATCTCAAAAACAAGTTACATTATAGAATAGAAATGCTATTCCGATGGCTCCAACATCATTCATTAGATTATGCTTTGACAATTATATTGGACAAATTAGATATCGAAAAACGCGAATCAATTGTTGAAATGATTGAAATGATTATTAATGGGTACTTGGTACTATCATCAGAAATGCTCAAACCTCTAGGATACACATCTGAAGAGATAAATGAATTAACAGAATCCTTAGAATGTAAATATTATAAATTTGATCGAGCTAAATGTTTAGAGTTATCAGAAAAAAAGGAATTTGATTGTGAAATTCTTTCAACTTTACTTTCTGATGATATAACGAATACATTGTTTATTAATGAATGCAGTATTATAAAGTCAAATGTTAACACTCAAGTCAATGAATCAATTCCTTCATGGTTCTTAAAAGAATATAATGCTGCAAAATTTCCTGGATATTTCATGGATATGTTACATCAACAACTTATAGTTTGTTCAGTGCAAATGGAAAATTATCAATATCCAGCTTGCATTGTTATTAGTTTGAATATAATCAGAGTTATCTTTAGACTGCTAAGTAATGGAACTAATAACTCCAAAATGTTGCAGTATATTGCAAGAGGAAAGGGAGCAAATATAAAAACATATGAATTGGATTGTAATGATGATAATTTTTTTAGAAATCTAAAACTTCCTACTCTTGATAAACTTATAGAATTATCAAAACTAGACAGAAAGAAAATTTTTATTTCAACACTTGATGTTTCTGATGAATTCATAATGAAATTTCCACCTACTTGGAGATTGTATGTGGCAATAATAACATATTGGTCTAAAAAAGCTGATAACATTTTTGTCACTAAATGGCATGTATATTCTTTGGTATTAATGATGATCTATCATGTTGTTAAAAAAGTAATTCAATTTGGATCATACTTCAATATAAATCCTGGTGATGTAATCATTAAAAATATAATAAATGAAAACAAAGTCCAAGTCCAACTGTTAGTTGATATGCCAGTGAAAAATGCTCTTGAAAAATTACAAAAAGCTGATTGTATAAAGACTCAGGAATTTTTTACATCAATCAAGAATAAAAATCAAGAAAATTTTAACATAACAATTGTTCATGCATTTTCATTATTACAAAATAGCTTGAAATATGGTATACATTTGAATACATTACTTGGCTACCCATATCCAAATTTGGACATAGCTGAATTTTTTAGCGGTACTATGATCTACAATTTCTACAAAGATCTTAGACCATACAATCATTTGAATGAGAGAATAAAGATCATATTTGCAAATTCACCAAGTATTTTACAGTTGTTTATTTCTATATCAACTACATTTCAAACTCTAGTTACAAAATAGCTTAGATTAGAAATATTAAAGTAAATTTAATGCTTTTTGGTACAAAAATATTAACCATTTTTTATGTTTTTGACAATGTTAATTATTTAACGTGATTTTTACTTGACTGATTAAGGACTATACAAAAACTAGATTGTCTTTTGTCTTTTCTCATTTATAATTATGTATAAAAAATTATTTAAACAAATTATATTGAAAATTATTACTTTGAAAAATTGAGTGCAACAATCGATTTTACGGAAAAAAATCGCGTCTATATAACAATTTTTTGTTAGAGCTCAATTTGTTATCATAAATGACAAAAGAAATTTATATTTTATATCTTGGCTATATAATGGTTTTGCTATCTAATTAGTTTGTTGCTATTAAATCTAATTTTTGCATAGACCTTAAGGAACCTTTGTATTTTTTATTTATAATAGTAAGTGCCCTATTTTTAATTGTAAATTAAAGTTTGTATAAATGTACTTGTCTCATAAATTTTTATGATACTAATAATATATATTTTATACTTTTAAATAAAATTATTCACAGTTCTGTACATAAAAAAATATTTTTTATTAAATATGGTAGATTTTTAATTATATTGTTATCCTAGTCTCTGTTATTATTATAATGTACAAATAGTGCAATGCAATTTTATAATTAGGTTTATAATAATTTATTCTGCAGCTGCAGCGCAAAGGCCAGTAGTAATATTGTACATATATAATAACAGTTTATTCTATTGTAATTAGTATCAGTACTATGTAACGTGACACTCAGAGTGACGTAGATGACTTGTGGATATGACTCCGGAGAGTCCGGAGTCCAACTTGTCAGAGCTTAATTAAGAGTGCTGTAAGAAGAGTTATATATTGTTATATCTAATCTTTCAAATAAATTAACCAAATTCGGCAGTTATTTATTTGTGAATATGTATTAATATTGAATAATTATTTATAGTAAAATATAGTTATTGAGTTTTAATGTTTTAAAACACTAAATTTTTACCAATTGAGTGTTAAAATGTATTTATAACCTAAAAATATAAACAATAACCTAACAATACGAATATTTAGAATAGTTTTATTAGTACACTATTTTAAATAATTTACATAATGGGTATACCGGGATTGATGACATATATCAATCAGCATTCAGATGTATATCTTAAAAATTACAACTTACATGATACATGTCTAGTTATCGATGGTAACAGTTTGGCTTCACAATTGTATACCTATGAAGCTAAATGTAATTGCTGCTTTGGGGGAGATTATGACAAATATGCTTACAGTGTATCTAATTTTTTTAATGACTTACTCAAATGTAATATAACTCCATTGATATTAATCGATGGAGGGTCTGAAGATAAGAAATTAAATACACTTTATAAAAGAACTAAGGAAAGAATTAATACAGCATACAACTTGATACCTTACAAACAATCTAGAACTCAATTGTTTCCATTATTTTTAAAAGAAGTATTCAAAGATGTTGTTCATGAAAAGGGTATCAAATGTGCACAATCTTTATTTGAAGCTGATGATGACATCGCATCTGTAGCAAAGATATTAAACTGTCCTGTGTTGAGTTTTGACTCTGACTTTTATATATTTGATGTAATCTATATTCCATATAATACTTTAAATTATGGTATAACAAAGAAACCTTGTGGCAATGGATACATGAAGACATGCAAAGTTTATAAAATTGATTATTTTTTGCAAAGATTTCCTGGTATGGATAAGTCATTAATGCCTTTGGCTGCTACATTATTAGGCAATGATTATATCAATAAAAGTACTTTCAAAAACTTTTTTTTCACACTCAAATTAACAAAAGCTTCAAAGAGAAGATATAATGAACTGCAAAGAAGAATAGAAGCTGTTTTCAGATGGCTTCAAAATCAAACACTAGATAGTGGAATTGCGAAGGTACTAAGTAAATTAGATTCAAACAAAAGAGAAAAAGTTTTAGAAGTCATGGAAATGATAATAAATGGGTATTTGATTGCATCTGCAAAAATGATGATCCCGTTGGGATTTTCTATGGAATCTATAAATAGTTTTATACAAAAATTTCCAAATAATCCATATAAATTTCAACATGATATTAATAATCTTAATGTCCCAGACAGTCCAAAAAATGAAGATGAATCAGATCTAAGTTGCAATGAAGATAGTAATTCACTATCTGATGAGTTAGAGATTGTAACACCAAAAAATGAAAGTAACTTTATTAAAAAAGTTCCTGAATGGTTTATAGAAGATTTCCATGCTGCCAAATTTCCATCATATTTCATTGATATGTTAACCCGACAAATATATTCATGTCCCGTTCAAGTGGAAGATTTTTCACGTCCTACTACTATAAACATTAGTTTGAAAATTATTCGTGTAATTTTCAAATTATTAAATACTGGTACAACTAATATTGATACCCTAGAATATATCGCTAGAGGAAAATTGACCAGTATAATTACATGCAAGTTAAAATGTGATGATCATATTTTGAATTGTAAATTTCCATCGTTGTTTAATTTGCATGATCTTCCTCACTTAATAAGGAAAGAGATCATGGATGAAACACTACAAATTTCAAATGAACTTATAAATTGTTACCCACCTTCTTGGAGATTGTACATAGGAACTATTAAATACTGGATAGATGAAGCAGATGAACCTTTCAGAACAAATTGCCATTTATATGCTTTACTATTTATTATGCTCTATCATGTTATTGATGAGCAAATTGGATTTCATCGATCTCAAAGTTATTTTCACAAACATTATAATCAAAAAATTCAAATGTTACAACTAAGTCGTAATATAGCAATGGTGCATCCAGATCAAAATATGTCAATCGAGGAAGCTCTTCATAGAGTTAATGTGGATGACTGTCTTTTGGCTTGTCCATTCTTTTTAACCAATTTTGTAATGGATCAAGCGCTAATGCGAAATCCTAAAAAATATAACGTATCAACAGTTCATGCATTTTCTCTATTTCAAAATTGTCTGAGACATAGTATACACTTAAATGCATTATTAGGTTACCCATATCAGCCGCCATGCATCGCTAAGTTTTTTAATGGTACATTATTATATAATGTGTACAATAATTTTAAAAGCCGTCATGATATTAACTATTATATCAGTATCGTTTTACGAAATTCACCGTCTCTACTACAACTGTTCATTTCAATAGTAGCACCTTTTAAAACCTTACTTTGTAAGACTTTGGAAAATAAAACCAACAACAGAAAGAGAAAAAAAAATAAGAATAGACAAACACACAATCCTAATTCTTTGAAAGATGAGTTAGATGATGATGACGGTAACGACGACAGTGTTGTTCAAGAAAGTGTATCTTATAATGATGTAAATAATCGATATTCTGTACTCAGTGAACCTCATATGTAATTGTAAATAAAATTGTAGAACTACCGAAACACATATTTGTTTTAATTACAAATAAAGCATTATTGAAAATTATATTTTATTGTATAAACTCTTATCTTTTTTACCTTATATTTCTCCAAACGCGCAAATGGCATTTATTAGAAAAGTTTTTTAAAACAATAAATTGAAAGATTTTATAATTATTTTAGATTTTGTAAAAGGATGTAATAGGTGCCAGAAAGATTTTAAATTGGAAGAAAATGAAGCTTTTAGAAATATTCAAGTTTTATTACCCATGTCTTTAGAAGAATTTTTAACTGTCATTGATAATCTTAAAGTCGAAATTAAAAAGATCCGGAATAATAAACAGGTATTATTTAATTTAAAAAAAAAGATAAGTTTAACATAAAAAATTTTATTGTATTTTTTTTATAAGGTTCGCTTGATAATTGTCGATAGCTTATCCATGCCAATACTGTGTACGATTGGTGATCCATTAAAAAGACCTTATTATTATTCACGAATTCTTCATGAACTACACCAATTATGTCTTGAATATGAAGTGGCGGTAAAAAAATTAATTATTACGATCACATTAAATTATTGTATCAGTTACTTACCAAATTTCTTACGTTACATAGATTGTTATAACTAATGAAGTGATTACACAAATAGATAAAGACGGAATAACTTATTTAGCGGCAGCTGGTGGTCAATATGTCTCTGATTACGTTCATATGAAATTGGAATTGACAAGTTTGGGAAATAATAATTTTGCTATTCGGATAGTGAAAAGTCCGATAAGACATGAAATGTCAGAAAAGTTTAGGGTAAACTAATTTCCAACGTTATTATATTTTTATTCTATGTGATTTCAATTTTCGCAACATAAATTAATTCGTATATCAAATTTTTAATTCTTTACCTTTTTGCAGATTACGGAAGACGGAATAAGAAATGTACCTTGAAATAACTTGATCATCCTTTAGATAATATATACTATTGAGAGAAGTCAGTCTATATTTAGTTATGTTAAAATGTCAAAGTTTGACAAAAAATACTAAAGTAAGCCTACATTCATCGGAATAATCTTCTTCAAAACGCCGATATATAAACTAATATGTATTCAATACGACATGTAATTGAGAAATATTGAAAAATATTTTTATGGTTTGAATGTAAAGGCTATATTATTTAAAATTGTCTGCAAGCTCAGTTTGATGCTCCAGTTTTCAAGATCCTAAGTAGGCACAAGCTTCCGATGAGCTTTCAAGTTCCGCAGCAATTGTAACCATATACATTTTCACTTTAATGTTGTGTATTTACATTTTTTATGGTCGAAGTAATCAAATTTTGCATTTTTTTCAATGCTTTGAGATATTTGTGTGTAAAGTATATTGAATCGGTGTAATGAAAGGCTAGAACGAACTTCGAAACATGAACCGCTTGAGCTTTTTGAGCCTTTGCAGAAGTATATTTAGATGTAACAGAATTATTTAATGAAATAATTTGTACGTAGGTTTTATTTGTAAATATATTTGAAAGCATTTGTAAAAAAATAAGTAATGTTTTATTTCATTGCAATGAAATTACTTTATATACAATTACATGTTAAATATCATAAAGTGTCACACTACTGACATTGTATTGGCATTGTATCACTGCAAAGATGCACGTTCGTCATTGCCATTCCTTTATCGTTACAAAATACTTGTCGAACCAGAAGGAAGCTTTTTAATTTCGTCGAAAGGTTTAATTTTTCTAATTCAAATAATATTTGTATTTAACCATCGAGATACAGTATCACGGTCAGTAAAGTAAAAAGCATGACCTCGAAGTGTATCAGAATTAGCTTCGTGTTCACTGCATTCTTTGTTATTCAAATAGAAATATAACAAAATAAGATACAAAATACAAAAAATTAGAAGATGAAGTAATAATATTATCAAATATGTAGTTTAATTTAAAGATGAAAAACCGTGCGCCAAATTGAACTTTAGGCACGCTACTTATTTTCATAAATAGCATTTCAGCTTCATTAGTTGTAACAGTTTTCTAATCCTTTTTAAATAAAATACAACACTTATAATGTTTTGTAAACCTGTTATAAAATTCTTTATATGTTACAATTTATGAGCTTTAACATGTTTTGACTGTAAGATGGACGAATGTAATTTTCATCTATTTGGAATAAATCGCCGTCTAATTTATATTGTTACTTTCATTATTTGAATCACGCTTCATATGAGTTCATCAATATCTTTCCTTTGATGTTCATCAAAATTCTAAGTATAATTTTTAAAATAAATTATATACAAATTAATATTTAAAAAATGATAAGTAATTACGTGATTTAAATTCGCAAAATTGAAAACATGTAAATTTGTTATCTGCTGACTACATGCAGATAATGTACACTATACTGTGATTGGGACGGCGTTTCGATATTGATTTTGTATAATTTGATTCTACACAACTTTTTAAATTTTGTTTATTTAATATAATGAATTTTAATTGAATAGAAAATATAAAATAGTATATTAGAAAAGAAGATACTATCAAACATGTAAACTTTTTACAGAAAATTAGATTGGAAAATAACTAGTCTAAAGTATTTTACATAAAATATTTTTCTAGGAATAAATTAATAATTAAAATAATTATATGTGTAAGATCTGCCCATCATTAAAAAATGATCAAATGTACCTTTAGGTCATGTAGAATATTTTATACTAATTAATTTTTTGTTAATTTTTTCTTAGAAAAATATGTCATTTTTTAAGAAAATAGTATTTTACTTTTTGTGTTTTATAGAAAAATAAATAAAATTAAAAAATTTTTGTAAAATCAAGTCGCGAGGAATCGGTATCTTTACAAAACGAATTCAGCCATCTAGACTCAGCAAATTCAAATTCAATATAGTCGTATTTATTGTATTCTCTGCAAATCAATGTGTATTAATTTTTTGATGCTCCGTATATTCTTTATTTAATTTAACTTGTGTTTTTAAGCAAGCTCAGCAACTCCGGTGTGGAAATTTTTGCTAAAAGTTTAGGAAGCTTAGGGTGTAATAGGTTTTGATGCTCTTTGTAGATTTTGTTATATGATGATTTTCTTAACTTTTTCATTTTTGTTGCATAATCGATAAAAGAATCAACTTTCCTAATTCTGATAAAAAATACATTGAAAGATAGCGAAAGAGACAGAGCAAGTAATATGCGAACAGCAGTAAGAAATTAGCGGGAAAAGTGGGGACACGCGGTGCATAAGTAGTTGGTATATACTCATCAACTTCTTGCTTCTTTCCACTCACTTCCTCTCAAAAAATTTCTCACTTTTTTCTTCTTTCCGTCTAATTTCGATTTCACTCTCACCGATTACATCTCGACAGCTACTGCATAGGGCATGATATAACGAAAGTTGTTTTACGCCAAAAAATGTAGCTTAACGTAATAGAAAATATTTGTATGCTATTTTAATAACCTAGTGACATTTGTTCTGGTAAAATAATATCACAAACATTGCTGAATATAAAGTCATTTAAAACTGAGTACTATGAAAAGATAATATACTGAATGAATCAGTTAATTCTTTTATTAAAAGTAAAAGTTTTATTCTAAAGTTGTAACAGTATTTACATTTTGGTACAGTATGCAATGTAACTATAATTTTCATATATCATACATGCTATGTATCATAAGATCCCAATTGCTCTACTTTCTTTTTGTGTTTTCTTATTTCACTAGCTATTCGATCACTGCATCTGCGAAGCCATTCTGCTATATAACTCTTGATCATATCTACATCAATTCCATGATGGTCTTGTATTACATCTATATTAAATAACCAAAGATTATATTATGCAACTTAAATAAAAAAAAACATGAATTTTCAGTAATTGGCCTTACTAATAATGTGATAAACCATATTCGTATTTTGAAATGCAATAGTATCTTTTATACCAATCCAAGAAATTTTCTTGCACAGATCATTTGTCATAAGGCTTCCTAATATATTTGATATTGACCTTTTGTCAACGCTGACTAAGAGCCTTTGTAATTTAGTAATCTATAAATGGAGTAAATTTTAGACTAGTTTAAAATGATTGTAGTTATTTCAGTTTGTAATCTGTATAACTACATTTTATAGTTGATAACAAAATACTTACTAATTGATCTAATACATTTTCATTGGAAAGTGATTCGTCAAAGTCCAGAAAGTCGTTTAAATCATCAAAAGGCATAGATGGTAAAAGATCAAATTTTATGTCTTTGCCAAAATTTAATGGTGTATTTTTTAAGTACCTTAAGATTTCTTCTTGTTTTTGTAGAATTATTTCAAGAGTATTTCTACAAATCTCTAAAACACAAGTATACTATATATACAATATATAGTATACACTAATAATGTATTGTATATACAAGTATATACAATACATTATTTGGAAGCTTTTATACAAAAAATTAATACATACCACAGCAGTTTTCACTATGAATTTTGCTTGTTTTTTTTGGAATTTTAGAAGCATTATCTTCTGTAATAATAATAATAATAAATAGTTTTGCATTTAAATAATATTCTTAAAATGAATATATTCAAGTTAATTTAATACCTAAATGTCTTTTTAAATTAATCTTTGATTCATTAATTATTGTTGATTTTTCTATAATAATTCCATGAACAGGGGTTTCTGTTTCTGTAACTTGTTCAGATGGTTCATTGAAGAAAACTAAGTTTACAGGGGATTCTATTTTTTCTTTATTTACATATTTATTATCTGTTAGTGACAATAAAAAAGATAATGATAATTATAATTTTTAATCTTCTGAATTTTTGAAATATTTTTAATTTAATGACAAATTTACATTATAATACACACCTGTTCCATTTGAAGTACTAGCTGAGAGCGAAGATTTGGATTGTAGATTATTTGAACAATTGACTATGAAAGTTTTTAGTGAAGAGTTATGAGGTAGAGTTACTGTTTTAGGAACAATGCGAATAATTGAAGTAGTATTGGAAATATTTATAGGTACAGTATGTTCCACATTTTGTTCGTTAAAATCACACACTTTTACATTAACTTGTGAATGTCGTTTATTCGACTCTGCCATTTTATTTTCAAAATTTAATTGTTGAATGGCTATGTTTTGATATGCGTTCAAAATCAAAATATAACCTTTAATTATTGTAAGAAGCATATGACATATGCTTTCAATACTATATTTACGTTATTTTACTATAATACTCTATGAAAATTTCAATAAAACGTTCAAAGAATATAACATTAACAAACTATTTACATGCTCAGCGAAAAATAATAAGCAGATACGTACGGCAGAATGCTGCACACATGTGAGACTACGAGATGGAGATGGAATGGAAACTTGAACATAAAATCAGTTTTTATCAAATGTGAATTAGGAAAGGAATTTCTATGTATAGGGATTTTGTGAGTATCTTATCACCCACACACACACACGCGCGCGCGCACGCACGCGCAGACACACACACACACATATGCACGATAAGATATATGGATATATCATTCATAGGTATACCATAGTCGTGCATTTCGTTAAAATCTATTTTGTTTGAAATCAAATGATCTTTCTATTTTTTAACAATGTAAGAATTAAACACGATAAATTACAGTGATCAAAAGGAGTTTATGGAAATTTGTTATAAAGTTCTTATTAACTTCAATTTACATTCTTTTCATAAGAAAGGATTAATTTTAATCGCGCGATTAGAATCAAAAATTATCAGCACAAAATGTTAAATAGTAGAATATTTATATCTATAATATCTGTAATCTATAAACTTTGCTTCAATTTTGTTACGATTAACTTACTAATGTTATAATAAAAACTTGATGGTAAATTTAAAAATTTCAAATTAAGTTGTGTTATAAAATATGCAACATTTTCTTCTTTATTTTGAATAAAAAATATATGCCTAGCAAAGGTTTTGATAGATATATGTAATTGCTACTTTCTGACCAAAAACGTAAGTTTGTTGATATACTAGTAGATTTCTCGCTGGGTTGTTAACAAATTTTTATTTAATTGAAGGACAATGAAGCAAACTTTGTAAACCTGGAATTGCACAGGAATTGTTACCCATGCTTGCAATAAAATTAATATTGCATGAATGTTTAGAATCTGAAGCAATATGTGGACTAATACACATTATGCATTACTTTCATAATCTATGTGAGAGTAATTTTTTTATTCAAAGTATCAATAGATGATTCAATGACATTTAATTTGCTATTGTAAATTTTATTTCATTTTGAATAAAATCTTGCGTAGCTGCACATTGACAATGACTGTTTAAAATAATCTTGATTTATAAAATTAATTTTTTTCTGTATTTTGGAAGAAATTAATTTAAAATTAATTTACAAGACTCCACCGCATGTATGCTACTGCCATTGGTAGTAGTATTACTTGTTAATTCGTTGTTATTCAATAAAATTTTCTTCTTTATAATACTGTCATAAGTACTAATAACTTTGAAAGTAAAAAATACATTCGATTTATTTTGAAATTTTGGTTTTATATTTTCTTTCTATATGTTATTTTCATTGTTTAGTAGATTAGAGCTATTGACATTCATTAGTTCGTGAGACAATACAATTTTTTTCAAAAAAAAAAATACATGCATCTTTATATAGAAAGCTTATCACATAATCTAACATTAGAATCATCATCGATAATCCGATAATCTAATTGATGCAGGATATTAATCTAATGACCGGAATTAATAGAAAACCGCTGATATATTATTGCACTATTTACTTAATACATTTCTCCAAAGTTACGAAAAATTTCGTTTTCAAAAAAAATCAATTGAAAGTTAGGTATTTTTTTACGTATACCATTTGATTTAAATATATATGTATATTAGTAATTGCAAGATATCATTCGTATTTTTGATGGAATTTGATATACGTTTGACACCATATCATGGTTGTTCGCAAGGTATACCTTATTGTAAATTAGTCTACTTTTCCAAGTTATATGAAAAAAATTGTTAGGAAACTAGTATATTTTTTTATTTTCTATGAGCGATAACGATGGTAAAAAATATATTTTCTGCTTTTAGTGCCCACAACTGAAATCGTTTTATAAGGCACAAGCGCGATAAAGTCTTTCAGATTATTAAAGTGGCTGGCATAAATTATCCAACCACCAGGGACACTAAAGTTCGTTTGTAGTCGCCGGAGCAGTCATCCTGAAAGCATGAATTTCAAGTAATAAATAACTTAGGTATATATTAATTTAATATTCAATGCTGTGTACATAATTGAGTAATGCGAAAAAACTCTCTTTCCATGTAGTGCTTTGAAACATTTATTCACAAGGCTTGAATATAAACACCACAGTATTTAGCTTTAACAGAATGAACGAAATATATGTCAATTTATATTGTAAAAATATATAGTTTACAATTATTACTTTCGCTGTAAATAGATTCTGTGAGCATCTGTAAAAAATAAAAATAAAATAATTTGTATAAATATTATTTTTATCTCTAACAATTTAAGCCACATTTTTCTTTTGCTTTGCTGAAGCAATTCAATTAAATATAAAATTACTTATTGCTATTGCAGTTATTAAAAATTTGATAGAGGCTTTCGTTGTACATGTAGCTTTTATCTTAGGTACTTTCAATATCTTTAAAGTTTTATAATTAAATATTGAAATGTTTCATTGGTCATCTTATCTGAAAATGCGACGAAATCCTATCATGTAAACGTGAAATTGATCTTAATTATATGCGTAAAAAAGGAAGGGTAATCAAGAGTACAAAAATAAATTTATCATCGGAATACTCATTATGATCGCTATGGTCGACCATGAGTTTTGGAAAAATATCTAAATGGTTTTTTTCTTCAATTGATCCTCTGTCAATAAGATTTGCAATATTGACACTCATTCAATTTTGATTCCATAAATCACTATTGATATGAAAATTTAACTTAATAGTATTTGTATAAGAAGTAACTTGAATGTTAAAAAAACGATTGGATTGAACACATGAATCAAGCATAGAAATGCTTTTAGGGGAAGCGTATTTCTGAGAAGTTTATCATAAAACATTTACTTATATTGGCGCAATATAACAAAGCAAATGCGACATTGATTTTTTCAAACTGGATGTAATAATGTGTGCGATGGTTTTTAAAGCTATTTTTGCAATTTATGACGACACTAACGAAAGGAGAGCTCGCTTATAATCTCCAGATGTGTCTCCCTGAAACAAATAAAAATGTTCTGGCTGATTTTTCATCAAAAATCAAAAAAATTGATAACCAGTATCAGAAGTGATGACAACAGAAGCGATTGAAATAATGCTTGCTATAGGGATACGAAGAGTTGATGATTTGATCAATATGAAGTAACGTTAACTCATAAAAGTAATGGAAAGAGAGTTATTTACGTGATTTGTGTAAATATTGTACATATATTTTTAATAAAGAAGTGTGTAAACTATTGATACTTTGAAGTGCAATTACAAATAAAAGATATGAATAAATGTTAAAAGTTAAGAAAAAAAGGAATGAATCGAACTCATCAGTATTAATATGTTAATCGATAAAAATAAAAAAAAATTTAAACAACTTACAGCTATCCAGCTTTCAAGGGACTTTCCGTAACGTTCTTCGAAAGCTCTTTTGATGTCTCCTAGATCAATTTCACTGCGGGAAACGATTATACGAATCAGCGTGCGATCCTTGGTTCCGATGCCGTGCATACTGGCATAAAGACGTTCAGCGAAGAATCCAATTTTGGACTTGACGCATTTTACTGAAAATTTCGATTGCGGTTTTTAAACTCATTTCTTTTAGCCAGGCGATGATATTTTTGGAGTCGATTTACCGATTCCAAGCAAGCCTTTCTCAACACTTCCGGAGAATTCTTTCTTGATGGCAGTTTCGATATCGTGTCCGGAGATTTTCTCATACTCGATGAACGTTTGTCTCAGTTGCTGGTAGCTGCGGGTTATGAGAATGACATTGAATTGCGATTCGTCGGTTCCCCAATGTTTTTCGCCTGAAGAGATTATCGTTGATTAAAATACAAATAAAAAATGTATGTTCAAAACGTGATACGATTGAGAAACATCCGATAAAAACACCTTTGGAAATATAAATTTCCAAATTTTCTTTGCATCAAGAAAAATCGAATGAAAGCTCATTCAAGCCTCTATTTCGATTGTTTTATTTTTACGACGCGAAGCCATCACTGAAGCGCAACTATAAATTGATTACCAGCATCAAAAAGAGCCTGAGCATCGGCTACCGCCTGGGTATGATCGACGCCTTGATTTTCATCTCTATTAGCTTGAACAAGCGAAACGAGCAATCGCTTGAAGTGTCCAGATGTGTCGCCTTTGAGGTCGCTCTCCAGGGTCTTTCCGTACACTGTTACAAAAATAAATTGCTCATCGTGTAACGTGACATCACGAGTGGAGGTAAAAAAAAAACCTAGCGAATGTAAATTTTTTCTGTGCACGGTAAAAGGAAGGCCGCCGCGCAGGCGCACAGCGCAATACAAAAGAGTCACGGTGAGGCAGTTGCTTGTAAAAAGGTGATGACATCACACGGCGGTGTACCAATAAATATAGAAGCTCATCTCACACGCACTCTCCCGGCGTTCTATCGACCGGCTTCGCGCTGCGTGTGTTTGCGAGCTTGTACGTCTGACTCACGCTTATCCCCTCTCTCTCTCTCTCTCTCTCTCTCTCTCTCTCTCTCTCTCTCTCTCTCTCTCTCTTTATAGTTGCACAACTCTTTCGATAATATTAAATGCAATACCATTAGAGACATTGTCGCCGGCTTTTATCGAATAAATGCAATCACGGGCCGTTGAGTGACACAAGAAGGTGATTACCGGCTCGCGGCGATTTCAGTAGACGTGTTTCATTCGTCCCCATATCCACGCCACTTGAACGTCACTTTCTATCGCGCATCGATTCCAAGCGTTATGACGAGAACTCGGATGAACAAAGCCGTGACTACGATAACTCGTAGGCGCGCTAGAAGATAAGCTGTCCGAAAGATACGACGGAGCAATCGCAGCGGAAACGGCAGACGAGAGATGCGAGTCGGGGTCCTTACGGTTCTCATAGAAAGTAGCGATGGTCCTGATGCCGTAGTTGCTGAGCGTGCACAGAATCTCGACGAGCGCCTCCTCGTCGGTGCCCAATCCAGAGATGGCGTCGTGCATTTCTTTGGCATAATAGTGCGGCAGCGGGGTCATCAGGGCCACCATCACGTCCTCGAGTTTGCCGGACAATTCGCTCTTGAGGTCGCTGATTAGATCCTTGCCGTAGAGGGTCTTGTAAGCTTCGGCGATCTCGAGGCGCTGGACGATGCCGCGCTTGGTGAGCACGTCGATGATGGCCTTCTCGTCGGTACCGATGCCCTTCATCGCCTTGCGCAGCGCCGCCGCGTCGGCATTCGCGTCGAATGGATCCGCCGGGTAGACCCGTCGGGTGTGCACTATATCATCATTTCATATGCGTTTATTTCGTGATGCACGCATTTGAATGCGGGCGACGCGATCCGGCAAAGCTTGCAAAATCACTGTCGCATTGAAAACACCGCGCAGCGACAGGCGGGCGCTCGCCTAGTGTCAGCGCAATTAACGCTCGGCGCGTATATCGATGTGAGCTGTATAGATCATTCGACAAATCTGATTTGGGATCTTGGTTGGTTCTGGTCTCGTTGTGTAACGAGTATCGAGCGCGAATCAGTCGACGGTGGGTCAATCATCTCGGAATGCGAAAGAAAAAGAAAATCCCGCAGAAAAGTGTGTCAGTGACGCGAGAGTTATCCAAGGTAATAAAAGAAGGCGTAAAGGATAGTACTGTTGCTGTGACATGTTGACTATGATCGATCGGCTATTCCTTCCTTCCTGAACGTCGACTCTCGTGTACGAATGTATCTGAAAGCACAGAAAAGGCGGACCCAAGGATAAGAAACACTTTATCCAGGATTCTAGCGCGAGGGGTGCACGAGTAGAGTGTACAGTGGATCGATGTAGCGAGTGCATGCCTAGCTCGTCGGTGGCCGCTCTCTCTCTCCCTCTCTCTCTCTCTCTCTCTCTCTCTCTCTCTCTCTCTCTCTCTCTCTCTCTCTCTCTCTCTCTCTTCTCTCTCTCTCTCTCTCTCTCTCTCTCTCTCTCTCTCTCTCTCTCTCTCTCTCTCTCTCTCTCTCTCTCTCTCTCTTTTTTCTCGCGCGCGCGAATTCCCGGCGCGCCGATCTCATTTTTGCCCTTTCGAGCGCGCGCCTCGGTAATTTTCGCCGCGCGAGCGCGAGCGAGTCGACAAAGCTAATTATCGAAGATGCGCGCGACGTCGAGGAGCAGGAAAAAATACCAAAGAAACCGTACGATCGGAGAGCGAGAGAACTTACCCGCTTTGACGAGCCGTGGCTCAATGACGGGTCACACCCACTTTCGTTTGGTTTTCGCGTGCGGCGAACTGAACCGGCGTGACTGCTATATACTTGTGTTCTCGCGATGCCTGGGCGATTACGTGTGCGTTGCCCGCCAGACCGCCGTCGCACTGTGTGTGTGTGTGTGTGTGTGTGTGTGTGCACAGAGACCGAGAGTGGGAGATCGCCAAGCGAATGCTTGTCGCTCTCCGCGACTGATTAATGCTCCAAGGTATGCGCGCCGCGACCGTGCACGAGGGGGTATGGATGAATTCCGGCGGAAGTGCTTTTTTTTTTCTTTTCCTATCGGCCGTTTGGCAGCTATCGATCGTGAAGATATGCATCGATAAAAAGATTTGTTTTAAAAACTCCAAAATCTGTTTTGTAGGACGCCCAATCTTGCTCGAAAATCGAACAGAACAATATTTGATTTTAGGAGCATCGATGTTTACACGAATTGTATGTCGATAGAAAAATACACAATCCAGTTGTAAAATCGCTAAGATTAACTCGACCGGAAAAGTTGTTTCGCGGAAGCTAACTTATTGAGACGGAATATAACTTTGTTACACGAGCTCACAAACTATATCGAAAGGACTAAAGAAAACAGAATGACAGAAGCACAAGGACACTCGGAATTTTACGATGTTTGAATGAGTCGAGTGCATCACGTGAATGTCGTGTACGAGAATTGTCAATCTGCAGGTCAAACGGCGAATCGACCGACACAGATGCTGTGCTCGGCGGCTATGTTAAAAGTTGAGTGGCTTTTAATCTCGTTGAAAACGATATACTGACCAGCTGCTTCATGAAGTCTTTGCAGTAATAGGCTAACTTTAGTACGGGAATCTTTCCGAGAACGAGAGAGAATTTTCGTTCTACAGTTACGAAGCTTTCGGTTTTTCTTCAGTTTACGTAATTAGGTTCAAATTCAAAAAAGACAATCATATCTGCAATTGATGGTTGTTTTACTGCAACGTGACGCATCGGGAAACAATTTAAACGAGATAATTACAAAGTAATACCGCGTACAACGTGAAACAATGTTAATGTGAAGTTATTATTTCAAATAAGTGGGTATATTATAAACTTGAAATACTTCACTTGGAAGCTTTCTAAGTAGTCGGTGCTTAATATTATATTATCATATGCATCCGAGATGTATATAGCTACACCGAAGGAAATATTAATCATGCTCCAAAAATAGTTCTTTTTCAATTTTTATTCTATGAACTCATTGTTATTGCGATGATTCACATTCTTCACACACTCATTATCATTTTAATTCCGCCTAGATTAACGTACAATATTCTGAATGGTGCTTCAACGTGAAGAATTTATGATCGTACAGGAAATTAAAGTAATGCAACGTGAAAAACAAACCTTTACAGAACTTATTACACAATTCCGCAAGCATACAAGGCAGCACTGGCTAATTTAAAAATCTCGAGTCCATTTTACCGATCGAGAGAACTCGAATGTCGAATCACTTCGGTACACGCCATTGAATAGATGCTTCGGCAATGCTCGGCTAAGTTCGGCAATCGTCGCGCGCGAGAGCAAGACAGAGCGATTCGACGCGCACACTGACAACAACGTGGCAGCAACTGAGCAATTGTGTACTCTATATATATTCTGCTCTTGTCACCTGAGAAGGTTCGGCTCGCTGTTAACTGGAGGAGGAAAAAGCACCAAGAAAATTCGCATATGTTTCGCCTAGTGACGAATGTTACGCGCACACGTATATGTAAAAACAATCTAATCATGAGAACTTTTTGGCTTGGCTTGCTTCACACTGACTATTTGGTTCTTCAGTAAACAACGCTATTGGTGGGTACTTTTTCGCAATACTTATTTACTGGACATTCTCGCGATTCTACTGAAAATATAACCATAAGTGTATTTTCGTAGGATAATATCACGTCGGGTTGTTTTTCACGATTTACTTTTTCGATGCTATTGAGTCATTTTAGTATTTTGGAGTAATCTATAAAGATTGTTGTAGGCATATTGTCGATATTGTTTAGACAACTGTTTCTGATTGATAATAATTGCATTTACAGGTGCCGTTAATGTGGCTTATAGGATACATATTCATACAGAATATGTATACAGGATAAATTCTAAACACTTTTACTTATTTTTGGCCAGTTAAAAAAATGAGAGCAATGAAGCGAAAAGCAGAAAAAGAAAATAAAGTTTTGGAAGAGCTAGGTGAAGCCAATGGCATGATAGTTGAGCATGGAGATATTCAAGGAGATGAAAAAAATATTGCTATATTATTGTTTTTGTATCTCATGCAAGGAATACCATTGGGATTATGTAGCTCTATACCAATGATTCTACAAAATCACAATGTATCGTATAAACAGCAGGTAAAAGATTCAAACAAACTTTCTACCCTAAGAAAAGTATATATTTTAGAAGAAAAATAAATTATGATGATATATTTCACAGGCTGAATTCAGTTTTGTTACATGGCCATTTTCATTGAAATTATTGTGGGCACCAATAGTTGATTCAGTATTTATTAGCAAATTTGGCAGAAGAAAAACATGGTTAATACCTATCCAATATTTGATGGGTATATTTATGCTGTTCTTATCCAATTACATTGATTACTGGCTTGGTAATGAAGAAGGAAGTCGTTTAAACATTGGCTTATTGACTGTGCTTTTCTTCATTTTGAATACACTTGCAGCTACTCAAGACATTGTAGTAGATGGTTGGGCTTTGACAATGTTGAAAAGGTAATTAATCATTCCAAAGTAAAGTGAAATTCTGTCATAATAACATAAAATTTCATGTCTAAAAGTTCTGATATTATTATTTCATTGCAGATGTAATGTAGGTTATGCTTCGACATGCAATAGTGTTGGTCAAACAGCTGGTTTTTTTCTAGGTTATGTATTATTTATGGCTTTCGAATCTCCAGATTTTTGCAATGCTTATTTAAGAACAGTGCCTTCACATAAAGGAATGATTACGTTAGCAGGTAGTTTTTTCATTTGTAAATAGAAAATAGAATCCTTATGCAAATACTTGTAGATAGAAAGTTAAAAATATTTAACATAAAAATAAAAAAATGATACTATCATTTTAGGATTTTTATACTTTTGGGGTATTGTATTTCTTATTACAACTACACTTGTTGGAATATTCAAGCACGAAAAAGAAGAGCGCATTCCCAAAGGTGAAGAAATAAATATACGAAAAGCATATAAAATACTCTGGACAACCATGAAATTACCGAATATTAAGCTTATAATGCTAATTTTATTGACATTAAAGGTATGTATAATTGTATATATATATATATATATAATATATATAAATATATTATATATATATATATAAATATATATATATATTAGTATTATGCTTTACTACTTTAAAATAATTTGAATCATTAAAATTTTTTAGATTGGATTTTCAGCTAGTGATGCAGTTACTAGTTTAAAAATGGTAGAAGGAGGTATACCTAAAGAAAAGTTTGCTCTTATAGCAGTACCACTGATACCATTACAAATAGTCTTGCCATTGTTTATATCAAAATATACTGCTGGTCCTAAGCCAATGGATATTTTTTTAAAAGCTTATCCATACAGGTATTTGGAAAACTTAAAAATCTTTCTTAAAAATAGCTGTTAAATGTAATAAAATTTTTCACATTTTTCAGACTCCTGTTTGGTTTAGTAGCAGCATTTATAGTTTGGATAACTCCACATTTTGTCCATCATGGAGAAGTACCTGCATATTACTTCGTTTTTTTGATAGTAATTTATCTTCTCCATCAGGTAATTAAAAAATCATTTTTCTATTTTGAAAAGAATAATTAATTTAACAAAAATCAATATTATTAAAGGTGTGTTCAAGTTGCATGTATGTTGCATCAATGGCATTCTTTGCTAGGATAAGTGATCCTGCTGTTGGTGGCACTTATATGACTTTCTTAAATACTTTATGCAATCTTGGAGGAAATTGGCCTGCAACAGCAGCATTGTACTTTGTAGATGCACTCACATTTCGACAATGTAGTAATGATGCTACTAATGATTGCAGTACAGCCAGTGAAAAAGAAGTATACATTAATTAATTTAATTGTAGTTACTTATTGCTTAACATCAATTAATTTATTAAATCTACTTGTAGACTTGTACAAAAACTGATGGCGTTTGCAACATGTTACTGGATGGATATTATATTGAAAGCTTTTTATGTGTTATTCTTGGCTTCTTGTGGTTTAGATGGGGAAGAAGGAAAATTGAATACTTGCAAAACAGACCAGCATCCACATGGAAAGTGATTCAAGATAAACATTGAGAGAAATGAGATAATTAAAAACAATTTCTAACCCGTTGTTGAATTGATCGAAGAACATTTAAATTTTAGTTAGAAAAATTGTGTACATAAATCCGGATGCTCTGCATTTGATAAGAAAAAGATTTTATGATACACATTTGTCTGATGAATGCACAAACATTTTTCTAAAAATACTGCAATCAGCAAAGTGTGGCTTTTACAACGCTTGAAAACTTCCAGTATATCATTAGTTTACTGTTGAAAATTGTTTTTTATTTTCGAAAATTATAAATATTCTAATAGAAGATACAGAGAATATGGGTAATTAAGTATTTAAGTTAGAATACTTTTGACAAATTTTTTGTAACATTTTATATGAATAGGAAATTTTATATTAGTTATAAAATACACATAAATTGATTTTACAACTTATTGTCATTCTCAAAATTTATTTCAATTTTTATAAGAGCTAAATTTTGTATACTAATATCTTTGGTTTTAATAAGATCAATTCTTGCATACATTGTTAAATTTAGTAATGAATGCCTACTTAGTTGATAATGCTCTAAAATTTATTTTTTTTTAATTTTCAATAGTTCTTTAAATCTTGCTTTATTATTAAAAACAAAATGTAAAGACTGTTCTGATAATGGTTGTCTTGTAATTTTCAGTTTTTATATGATTATTAAAAGGTAATGCGTGCATAAATCATTATTAGTATGAAAATACTAATAATCTGATTAAAAAATCATTCAGTCAAATTGTAAATGCATATAGTATATATATAATGTGTGAAAAAAGTTCAATTATTAAAAAGTTACTTTAATATTGCCAAAAAGTAATGTTATGATAAAAAAATCCGTTTTGTTAGTTAGAATCATTCAAATCATCCACTAAAAACGTTCATTATTTACGATTGTTATCAATTTCGTCATAGTGGAACAGAGTTGAGTAGGTTTACTAAATCTATTTATTAGTAGGCCTGAATAAGGAATAATTTATTAATATGCGCAGTTTCAAAAAGCTTGTTCATGCAATGTTTAAGTACAATTCCCGATAAAATCAATAATAAATAATTTTTAAATTATAATACAGGCTCTTTACTTTGACATTGTTGATTATGTGGAATTAAATAATCATTACTTTCCTATTTCATTAGATATTATGTTGAATGAGTTAATTTATTTGAAAAAAATATATACAAGAATTAATGACTAGTGCATCAATGATTTTGGAGCATAATAAAATAGTCAGATTTATAAATACTATATACCAGAAAATTCATTATCAATGCATCAAAAAACAAATATAAAGTCAAAACAATCAAATCAAAACAAAAATTGACTCAACAGTAACGCAAGTATTGCTCCATATTGCAGTCATAACAACACCATTCAACAAATCTCCCACGTGATCATGGCAGCTTTTTCTTCCCCCTTATCGGTAAATAAACATCGTATCCTCGCCAGTAACGTACAATCACCCATTGAACATTTTTCGCAAAAGAGAGAGAGAGAGAGAGAGAGAGAGAGAGAGAGAGAGAGAGAGAGAGAGAGAGAGAGAGAGAGAGAGAATTTAAAAAGAATGTAAAAATGTGAGTTGGTTGCAGGGAATAGTAGTCTATAATACTCACTTCCTCTAGTCCTCTAGTACGCAGTGGTCCCCTCCTGCCTGCCCTCGGTCACTTGCGCTGACTACCTGTCTGCCATTCTTTGTCTACCGGCGGGTGCGGGAAATACAAGAGCGCGAGAAAGAGAGATAGAAAACAACTCAGTATATATAACCTACAACGTTCTCTTTCTTTTTCGCATGGTAGCAGTGTATAGTATGTGCGTGCATACGTGTGAGAGATTATAGCGTATAAGTATATATGTATACACATAGTGGGGGGGAGGCAAAGCCAAGCGCGAGCGGCGACGAAAGTGCACACTTGGTCGTCTCAGGTCAGTCGTGCCAGCGGAGTGAGCGCGAGTGGTGGGCCATCGTTCTCGTGGGGGAGTGCGTCGCCCTCGCCCCCTTCCCGGGTCAACGCTAGTTTAGCACAGCGAGCAACATCCGCGAGTCAATATTCGGGTTTTCGTGATCATCATTGCCGCCGCAAGAGCATTATAGTGTTTCATAGAAAGGACAGTGAAACGAGAAAACGGCAAGATAGAGAAAGTGGAACCTTGAGAACGAGAGAGAGAGAGAGAGAGAAAGAGCAGTGCCGTAGTGTGTAACAAGGTGGGCCCGTTGAGAATGTCCGGGCGAGAAGCGAGCGCAGGTGCAGCCCGGCCGCCCGAGGCACATCTGCTCGTAACCGCAGCAGCAGGCCTCAATAAAGCTCGCGAGTAGAGATAACCTCTCTAGCCGACAGCTAAATTACAAGCTGCTCAGGCAGCTTCGATCGTGCGAGAGAGCGAGCGCTGCGCGTCCCGCACACTTTCCGAAACGGAGTGAACGAGCGAGCGAGAGAGAGACAAGCAAGGACAGGCGTGCTGCCACTGTCGCGAGGATGACGGCGTCGAGGATGCGTGCCTCCTGCCTTCTCATTCTCCTGCTCGCCGAGGTAAGTTTTGTTCATTCAATAATGCGCACAGACGAAAAGTATCCCTCTTATCGGCCAGGCGGCATCTTCTTCCAACAAGAGCTGCATTGTTCATGGCACAATGGGACTTTCTCACGATTCGATGGCAGCAGTGGCTCGAGGAAGCTTTTGTACCTCCTCAGCGATTTCCGATGTTCGCACAACCGAATTTTTCCGATAAACTCGGTGCACCAGTGCGCGTGCATGCCTATGTGCTAGTGGTGGAACACTGTGTGTGTTTGCCACTGTTTTTTTTCACGTTCGAGGATTCCCGCGAATTCGGATGAAATTCCACTTTGTCTACTTCAATGACTAAGTCCCACTGCAACGACTCCTGTACACACTTTATATAATCGGGCTGTGAGCGAGATGCATAACAACACACCTTTATCTGCACGATCTTTATCGCATGCGACTTCCGCTGTGTGCTAATGGTAAACAACTGCCAATATTTCTGAGAATTTTCCGAAAAATTTTGCGTTATAACGGCTCTCTCTCTCTCTCCCCCTCCCTCCCTCTCTCTCTCTCCCCCTCGATACACACAAACGGGAAAAGCTACGCGATGGCAAGAGAGGGAGAGCAAAGAAAAAAGATTCGTATTTACAGTTACAGACGCACACGCGCGTCGTGTGTACATATATATTTTCCCGTAGACCAACTCACGCATAGACCAACACATTTGGCGTAAATTACGTAAATGTGACAATTATCGAATAATCGTCGTAATAACCGGTGCCTCGCGTTTGCCCGCGAGTGTTTTCTTCGGTCGGCAGAATCGGCGGTAGGCGATGCATCATACCCGCGAAAATGCCCTCCCTCTGCTCTCGGAATGAAGGAAAAGCGAGTCGATAACCGAGCGCACGCGGCGCGCGCGCGAGAGAGTCGAGGCTTTTATTGACTGCATACTTTCGCGACTACGAATTGTTTCGCACGCGCGCTCGCTGCATTTTCCGCGCCGGCTCTGCATTTTCGATCGGCGGAGGAGCTCGCGCGACAGGAAAAATTGGCGATCACTGCGGCTGTGTATTGTTGCTATTTGAAAAATCAATAATCCCCCGGCGCGCGCGCGAGGAGGGAGGTCGGCAACCTCTCCCGCGGCTACTAAAGAAAATTGGCTTTTCGTGTGTCTATGTGCACTGCGCGCCGAGTCCGATTCGATCCCACGGCGAGCGGGCGTATAGAAATTAATTATTCCGAACGGAGTGTCCGGCGCGCGTGCAATATTTAGACGCGAGAGCATCCAGCGTGTATGCTGGTTGCAGTCGCACTGAAACGTTTGGCACCGAGCCTCGGATTCGATCGTGTGTTTTGACAAAGACGTCGCGGTTGCGTTGCGCACGTGACAATCGCAGAAGGGCATAATATGGAAAACCTGCTGCCGGTATTAATAATTAATGGCGAAAGTGCGCGCGGCTGAGGCGCGTGTGCGGAGTCGATGCCAAAACCGGTTGCAGACCGCGCGCAGGTGAAAAAGAAGTGAGAGAGCGTGCAAGCGAGAGAGAAAAATGATAGAGTGTCTAACGCAGAGGACTGCTGCGTGCGCGCGAGTTGAGGTCGGCGAGCCCCCCCCCCCCCCTCCAATCGTCCGCCGTAAACGTCTGCAAGCGGATGGTCTTTTTCCAGGGGCGGATATCATCGCCGAATAATAATACGGGTTCCGCGTCTTCCTTTTCTTCATTTCGGAGAATCGCTGACGAGTTTGTGGTTCTTTTTACACCAAGCTGCCGAGTTCAGTGACGCGACATTCTCCCCCGCTCGGTCTTTTTCCGAATGCTGCAATGAAAGAAACTTTCTCCTCTATTAACTGCGCTGCCCGCGAGAAATTGCTACAGCAATATCATACTGCCAGGCAATCGTGCGCGGCTATGTAACAGATAATACTTGGACATAATCAAGCGGCTCTTATTCTCGGTGGTTTCTTCGCGCTGTTTACGTATACGTAATGCAAATGATTCACTTTCCCAAACAAAAACATCGGTCGTTTATTTTTGTTTGTTATTGTTGTTTTTTTGCGCAGAAATGCTCTCAATTATAGTTAGTATCATACGTTTCTTCATACTCCGCGCGTTTGAGAGCAGCTGAATTTTCTCTCGGCGCAACTCCTTGAATTTTGCAGCAGTACGCTGGAAAAGCTAGATAACTCGTATTACGTTGGATGAGCCTCATTGTACGGGATATAATATATATACACACACACACCTCGTCGGACGCTTCATTTATACAAAGCTCGAGAAAATGTATGCTAACACAGATAGACGCTTTTAATTTCACCCTGTCGACTTCTTCATTTCTATTTAGAATGGAATTTCATAATTAGGCGTGAAACGCGTGAACGGAAAGTCGAACAGAAGTGAATAATGATCTAGAGTGACAAGTTGGTGTATTTATTTTACGTCTTTGACCTGGACCTGTCGGACGTAAACTCGATGAAGATTGGTAAAATGCGCCTTCGCAACCTCACAATGAAATATCCCATATCGCGTTGGCATCTAGCGTCGATTCGCTCGACACCAATAGCCAAACCACGTTCAACTTCTTGCAATTGCGCGACAACAATTGTTATTAATAATAATAATTGCGCGATAATAATTGTGCAGCTTTTTCGGCAGCGAACATCAAATTAGAAAGTTTGAAAGAGGAGAAAAATGTCGAGCTTCGTGCATTTTCAATCCTCCGAGACATGAGCATTATTCACGGATAGAAATACCGTAAGCCATACGACGACGGCAACCTCTTTCGAATATTTGCATATACCATCAACAGTAACGCTATTTGCATAGACTCGTGAATCAGTCTCGCAGCCGTTATATGTAGTTGGTCCTAAATAGAAAAACCAGTCGATGTTGAAAGTCAGTGGCTGGTATCCACCGCAAATTTTCATTTGATAAGCTGGCTCGTGTTGACAGTGTGCCAATGCTTAACAAGTATAAAATCACTAATGATGGCGAAAATTCTAATGGAAATGGAAATGCAACAGTTGATGTCTTTTTGTGGATAAAAATTGGAGTAGCTATTATATATTGACAGATACGACGTAGATAAGCGAGGCTTTCATAACGATCGCGTACCAAGCGATGTCCAGTCAACGTCTTATGCAATGTTCCCAACTATAGGCATTATCTAGCATATAAAGACTCGCGAGGAAAATTATGAGAATTTCCAAAGCTATTGAATTTAATATATTAATTAAATTTAAAAAAAAAAAACAATCTTTTTGGCAATAAAATTGCCACGTTCAAACGCGCCTCTTGCGCGTGTGTGGATTAACGAAACAGCTGAGCTAGCATTAACTCGCGTGCAATGTTTACATTTTTGTGCATACAACGCAAATTCCATGTTATTATTCTTGCACGAGCTTTTTCTCTCTTTTAATTTCTACCTTCCTGATGCGACATCGCGTCGCTTCTTCTATGCAACAGCGTGACTTTGCTGCTATTTGTTGATATTCACACGCAGGATGCACTTTCTATTACCAACGCCTTTTTTCGACAATAACGTCGTTGGCTTATTGGAGATTTCTTATCAACCATTGTATCGAGTAAAATTGTCAGGGAAGCTCTTGCGTACTCATTAACTTTTCGTGTGCATATCATAACTTGAGATGTATTACGCTGTTGCAAGGCGCTGAATGCTGAATTAAAGACAACGCGTTCTCACATTATGCATGCAAGTTTCTTAGAATGCACAATGGACGTGTATGGCAGAACTGTTGCTGCTGCAATGAAAATTTATACTTGACTCTTAAGCGCAACTAATTTTAACGAATTAACGCTTTATATTGCCTCGCTTGGCTTGTACTTTCTTTTTCTTCTTCGCGCTACAGCCACTTTGAATTTATGCGCCTTTTAGCAGGCGTAAGAAAAAGGCTTGCGAATCGTACGGCTGTTCTTTTAGCATGCAGTTTTCCAGTTGTCTTTACACGCGCCGATATAACAAGCCTGCCGCCGGATGAAGCAACGCGTACAGATGAAAGTAGTAGAAAAGCAAAGGAAACTTGCGGTAGCATTAAAAGTGAAGTAATCGCGTTCATATGCTCTATTCTTTACTCCCGTATTTGTGCAATCGGCTGGTAGAACCACTATGCGAAAAAAAATAATTGTAAAGGCAAATTAATCATCGGGAGAAAGAAGTAACAGAATTTAATATTCGCATTAAGTATACAATTTATTTTCTAATTTAAACTATACTGTGGTCGAAAGATTTCATGAGCATTCTACATGCTCGACGTAGCTTTTCGTGTTACAAGTCTTACATAAGCAATGCTTTTTGTTTTTTTTTGTCGTGATTAAAAATAAAACACGAAGTTGATTGCAAAAATAATTACCGGGCGTCAGACAAATCGAAAAAAAAAAAAAGAAAAAAAAACGAAAGAATTTAATCAATCAAGAGGCAAAAATCCGGGACTTTGCAAAAGCTGTAATGACGCTTTGGACTTGCTCGAGGCCGCGTGGAAGCAACAGTGGCAAATTAAATCTTTACGCGCCAGAGAATACGCGAATTATGCCTGACCATAGCGGCAAAATGTTGCCGGTGCACACATGTAACGAATTATGCAACGATTCTTTTTACATCTTCGCGCGCAAAGCCACGCGAGTCTTACGGCGACGCAGCAGAGTTCGTCTTTGCTAAAATCGATTCTCCAGTTTGTCGAAGCATTTGTATGGCGACCAATCGCCATGTAACAGTAACGCGTTCTCATTAATAAAATACGGTCAGAGGGGCATCGTTACAAAGTCATCCAAGCGCGTTGCTCAACGAACAAAGAGATCGGTTATTTGTTTAACGTTAAAAACGGACGAACGAAAGAGTACGAATTTTCCGAAGCCTTTTCCTCGCGATGAAAACTCGATAAAAATGAGGGAGAGAGGTAAAATAAATGGTAAAATAAAAGTCCGCGACAACGAGAGAAAATAAAATTGGCGTTGTGTGCATGCGAGTTGATGAAAAAAACAAGCGAACAATACTCTCGTGAATGTTGATCC